CAGAAAATCATATTGCTGCTTAAACACCATTTCATGGCGTGGACGTGCCAAAAGTTACGGTGTCTATGAAATATTGGTAGATGGAGGCTCAGTAAGCACAAAATCGGCTGTTAAGCAGCGATATGAAATTGGGCCCTGTTTTCTTTGCAGCATGATAATTTAAATGATCCTTTTGTCTTATGTTGTAGCTTTCTTTTATACTCTTTGCCATGTAATATTTAGCTCAGTAACACTGCAGCTTGTGCTTATTACTCTGCATACTGTAGTTTTAACAACATTTCCTTGGCCTTAAAAAAGTTTTTACTTTTCCTTTGTAGTCAGTTGCGTTGTAGTAAACTGTGCCTAATTTATGGCTTATGCTTACCGTAATAGTGAAAAGTCCCTACTTACTGCAGCAGAAAAGCAGAACATTTCGCGCTTGGGGTAAAGTTACACATGTACAATGTATTTCATAAGTTTAAATAGAAAGATTTTTTTGCGTTTGCGCATGCATACATCCCATACCTGAGGATCCTGTGCTGAAAGGATAACGGATGAAATTCTGTGGTTGATGCAATGCAATTACTTTAGGACTTTATAATTGGACCCTTACTAATGCAAGTGTTTAACTTGATGACTTAGATTGTATTTTTGAATGTTGCTAATTCATCTTCATTTTGTACAAGAATTTGCAGTTCATCTAAAGAATTGCAGATAAAGAAGATACAGTTTTTAAACCTTAAGTTTTCAATGTTGAATTTTGCGCCTTACCGACATTACGTTAACTGTATGCTTGGTAGTGTTTAGCAACTTGCAAAGGAAAGAAATTCACAAGCTTGACAATACAAATTTTCCATCATTAAAGATTTAGACGGTGCCCTTTTCCTTGAACGATTGACTAGATCGCCGGAGGTTGTGGCGTACAGTTTATCAGCTCAGACCGCTAAGCATCTTTTATTTATATATTATGATCTTTTAAAAAAACCACTGCCCTTTAACGCGGACACGCAGTTGGTCTCGTTACTGCATTCATTTATTATAAATGATTCGGCGGGCCTGAGGGGGTAGATTTCTTAGGTTACCAAAAAAAAAATACCCGTCAGAGGACTTAAAAAAAAGAGAGGAGATCCGGTTTCGGTTAATTCACGGGCTCGTGGATACACAAACAGCGCCGATGTCTTCCACAGCTGACATTTAGTACTCTCCTGCACGCGCTCAAAAAGGAGACGCTTATACGTGGGCCTTTGGCGAAAACTGCTTGTGATTGTTTGAGAATCAATACAGAGGGTGTATGCTGTGGGTTGGGCTAGACCGTTTTGAAGCCGGATTTTAATATTTGAATTATTAATACCGGTAGTGCAGTGTGCTCTCTCTGTAGGTTCGGTATTAGCAGTCGTGCCGTCAGAATTTTTTGACATCCTATGGACTCTTTGCACGATGAGTACATGTAGATGCACTTTGTGATGGCTTTCCAAAGCTTTAGTAGGAGGAACACACTGCATATATGCATGAAACACAATATAGGGGACCACTTCGCAACCGTCATGTTAGCAGTTTTTCCAATGGTTGTACACCACATTACACTAGGGGGTGCGCTGACATCAATAACAGCACATTTTAAAAGCTTTTGTACTTTCTTTCTCCACTTTTTTTTGGGAGGGGGGGGGGGGCTGGACACCACATTACACTAGGGGGCACTCTTCAGGATATAGATGTATATCAACATCCACTGATGCTTACATCAAAACAGCGCATTTTAAAAGCTTTTGTACTTTGTTTTTCCACTTTTTTCAGGGGGGGGGGGAGGGGGCTGGACACCACATTACACTAGGAGGCATGCACTTTTCAGGATATAGATGTATATCAACATCCACTCACGCTTACATCCAAACAGCGCATTTGAAATACTTTTTACTTTGTTTCTCCACTTTTCAGTGCTATTGAATACATTTGGCTTGTTGGGATGTTGGAATACCTCAAAATCTGCATTTTGTTTTTCATCACGAAAAAGTAGGGGGATGATTCAATAGCCCATTCCCCCCCCCCTCTAAAAGTGGGGGGGGGGGGGGAGGGGATATATACATGTATCCCTAACCCCCTCACCCCCTCCCCCCGGGATTTACAACCCTGGGGATACATGTATATATGTAACAGGTGTGGGGAACATGCCTCCAGCACCCTGGTTTTGCCACTGAATTTTGTTTGTTTCTGATTGGTGTCACCAATGCACCCTTTGACACATTAGTTTACGGACATTCCCACTCCAACTAGAACTAAATGATGTGAACGTACATATTCAAAAAGCTTATGAAAAAAAGACAGGTATTTATGAATGCCCTGCACAAGTACTGGTACTTAGTATGTACCCCCCTCAACAACGAGAAAAAAAGAGGGGCATCATCACCATCAATTTCCATTCTGTGCCCATTCTTAAAGCTACTTGTCAATAAGAGAAGGGGTTTGCCCTGGTGTTTCTGGCAGTGGCAGCAATATGCGCCGCAGCACCTAGCAAAAAGGTGCTACATAATGGGTCTCATATGTTCATATACTTCATTTACCTGTCTTTGGTTGCATTCTCCCCCAGCGCTTTGTATCATTTGGAAAAGGCGCTATATAAATACGGTTATTATTATTATTATTATTATTACAGTCCATCATTTGCTATCCAAAACAGTTTGAAATTTCCGTTAGTAGTTTGAAATTTCCGTTAGTTTGTTTTTGTGTATTCGGCTAACCGCGTGCAAGCGTTTGCATGACGCACACACGCGCGCGGTTGCTATAATTCTTCGGATCGGTGCGCGACATCGCGTAGCTGCAATCAGGCTCGGTGAGAACGTGTCTCAGATGCTGAATTCCGGCCAAATTCAAAACATGATTCAGCAACTCTGGATTTGAAATCGAGATCCTAGAATGCTGTTTTTCTCGAAATATACATCAGCTGAGGCTGAGCTGAAACTTCATCAGGTCAGTTGTTCAGCACCCTTCTTTAGATTTTGAGCACATTTGTTGCTTCAAACAAACAAAATGCACAAATTACAAATGATGGACTGTACTTTTACGAATTGTTGCTCTGTTTAAAAGATGCCGGGTTTTTGCGTGCAGCTTCAAAATGAAAGAAGCTGTCGACATCTACACATACTTTGTACTGTTCCTATGTTGAGTCCATATGTACATGTACATTTGTATACTTTGAAATCAGATTCAAACATTGGCAGTTGTGACATGTTGATTTCATTTTAGTATCTGTATTTGTGCAAGTTAACTTGAACAGCTGTGCCATGTGTTGAAGTTAAAGGGCATTTATCAAGGGAATCATTTATTCAATTTTTGTTGTAATTATAACCCTGCTGAATCCAACAGGATCCAACTATGTCACATACCCGATGGAGCCTGTTGGATTGAGCAGTTAACCCCTTGTGTACATTCCTGATGCAAAATGTTGGATTCAGCAGGCAACTGAACCGCATTATAACGCCATGTTGGACTCCGTTGGATTCAGCAGACAACTGAAAATAAGGCACAGTGGATTGAACAGGAAAGTCCGGTTGGACTCTGTTGGTTTTAGCAGGGTAGTCCTGAGGAACATCTAGGGGGTTAGGGTTGTTTACACCACATATTTCCACAACAGCAAAATATCACTGCTTTTTTTTATTATATTACTTAATTTTTTTAGGGAGATGTTTGGTTTTTAATTTGTTTCGTAGTTTTTTAAAGAATGGAAATTTCTGTCAGTACCGTTTCATTTTCCAGTTTGCAGTGAAATGAAAAAAGTCGCTCCTAAAATGTTTGCACTTTTAGGCATTAATTTCACGAATTTGTACGGCAAAGGTGAAATGCCAATGTATCGCATTTGCTGTAATGTACATGCACGTGTGCCTGCATAACAGAAAAACCATTATCACTTGAAGGTGACACTGTTGTCATGGCGATGCTTACCAATCAATAAAAGATGTACTCAGGAAACCGTTTGAACTTTTTGATATGTGTTGTAGCCTCTTCTTTCTATTTGGTTACGTTTGACCTTTCGTGTACAATGTATGTGTAGTTCAGTGCCCTGACCGAAGGGCGACGTTCTTTTAATGACGAAGACAGATGTACTGGCACGAGAGATGACAGTAAATTCTTCAAGTGGAGTACATACATGTAGATTATGGTCTCCTGTAAAAATATTCAAATTTTTACCTTTATTTGCCTTTACGTTTTCTCCCAACTTGTAAATCTATGTTTTTATGTTTGTTGTATGCCCAATAATTTTTTCATTTCTTATATACATTATTATTGTTTTCTTTATCATTAACATTGTTTTCTGATGAGTGTCAAATTCTTCTTTTTTTCCCCTGAGCATCATCCAATTTCTTGCTATAGCTTTAACGCTGATGACTGTTCTTCTCCAACGAAAAATTAATACTGTTCCCTTTTGTACATTTAGGCTTCACTTTAGAAGCATTAACAATCAGCTGAGATCTCCAAGTTCAAATCGTAGTGTGCGACATTTCATGTTTTTGCCATAGTCAGCTTCCAAAGCAGCATAATTAATGCATGTGTTTACTGACATTTTAAATACACATCCATAACAGAGGTGAAACCATGGTTTGCATGTCTCAAGCATTCTGAAATTTTAGACGGGCCCGAAGTTTGCAAGTTCGAAACATGTGGTCAGTTAAAGTAACATTGAGAGAATACATGCGACATCTGTGCCTCGGATGAGTGTGGTGGATGGTACCACGTCTTATAATTGTGATTGTTTGAGTTGATTGACTTTTCCAGGCACTGAAACCCTTTACGTTTTCGAGGCCCACATTAACGGAGGTCCCTATTAATGGAGGCCCCTATTAATGGAGGCCTCCATTAATGGCAGAAGCATTGTGCCAGCTTGTTCAGAGGTTTAGTGCAATACCTAGCATGATGCTAAAATGCTTCCATATTCCAAATGCCCAGTGAAGGTACGGTGATACATGCACGTCAACTTTGAAAAGCATACATTTATTGGCTGTACCATAACCCTGCTTTCCCTTACCCAGAGCTCCAAGAGCAAGAATCGGCAGTGTTGGAGCGCAAACTTCGTCTGCTGCAGGATATGATGCAAGGTGGGCAGCCTGCGGACCAACAAGCCCAGCTGCCTAACCAAGGCCCGCCTCACTGTCAGTGTAAGTATTATGCAAGCCACGCCCCTTATCTCCTCTCTGCCCCACTTACACCCACCAACAAGCCCAGCTGCCTAACCAAGCCCCACCTCATTGTCAGTGTAAGTTTTATCCAAGACATGCCTCTTATCCCCTCTCTGCCCCACCTACACCCACCAACAAGCCCAGGTGCCCATCCAAGCCCCGCCTCACTGTCAGTGTAAGTTTTTTCCAAGCCACACCCCTTACTCCTCTCTGCCCTACCTACAACCACCAACGAGCCCAGCTGCCCAACCAAGTCCCGCCTCACTGTCAGTGTACGTTTTATCCAAGCCACGCCTCTTATCTCCTCTCTGCCCTACCTACACCCACCAATTAGCCCAGCTGCCTAACCAAGCCCCGCCTCACTGTCAGTTTAAGTTTTATCCAAGCCGTACCCCTCACCCCGTCTCTGCCCCACCTACACCCACCAACTAGCCCAGCTGCCTAACCAAGCCCTGTCTCACTGTCAGTTTAAGTTTTATCCAAGCCATACCCCTCACCCCCTCTCTGCCCCACCTACACCCACCAACAAGCCCAGCTGCCTAACCAATCCCCGCCTAAGTTTTATCCAAGCCACACCCCACACTCCCTCTTTGCCCTACCTATACCCACCAACAAGCCCAGCTGCCCAACCAAGCCCCACCCCACTGTGAGTGTAACTTTCTTGCAAACCATGCGCGTTCCCCTGTCTGTCACATCCCTGACCCTGTGTGTGCCACCTATACTAACCACTACCGTAATTCCAGCTGCCCAGCGCCCCTCTAGCCACTCCGCTCCCACCTTTTCCCACCAACAAGCCAAGTTGCATCCTAGCAAAGCCCCACTCCAATGTCAGTGCAAGTACCGAATTATCTAGCTGCATAACACCCCTCTCCCCCCCCCACCAACCAACAAATCCTGCTGCCTAGTTAAGCCCCCCGCCCCCAACTGCCAGTGTATGTCAGTTTTATCTAAGCCGCGCCCTCACTCCTGTCTGTCCCACCCTAAAAAACTCCACTCCTGCCATCGGCAACTAGAACTTCTCAATCGCAAGTGTATTAAGTTGGAAATCTTCATTTATTCATATATGTTTCAATTTTTTTTTGACATTTAGATTTAATCTTATTTCTGCCTTTTAACACAGAATACACAAAATATGTGTACATGAAGTGTTTGCCTTCAGAGCAGTCAAGTCAGTTGCAACCGGGCAATTCAGTCACTTGTCCATTTTCCGCTAGAAAACAGACAACCATGGATGAGGTCGAACAGGATAATGTGCAAACAAGTCAAGTTCAAACAGACCAACAACAGATATATGCCCAGACACCCACATATAATACATTTTGATTATGCATAGTATGCCTGTGTCCCACTTTTGATCAATAAAAGCCCCAAGTCAATATTAGTGTTGTCAGGATAGTCACGAAACTGACTCGGCCGTTACCTGGAAGCCTGGCCAGCAACTAGATAAGCCCTGGGTAGATTTTGTTTAACTGGGTGCAGTCGGTATCCAGATTAAACAGAAAGATTATGAATTTATGGTACCGCGGATGCATTCGTTTTTGAACACCTCAGTGTGGTGGTTTACTGTTCTCCCTATTGGCACCTTACAGATCTCTCAGAGGACAGCGATTACACAAGTGACGTTAACGTTCCCTGCGCAGGGAGTCTCAGTCCGCAACGGAACGGTCGGTCTGATCTGCCCAACCAGTATCCTGATCATCAGTATGACGACCACCTCCCAGATCACCTGAATCACCACCCGGATCATTTGAATCACCACCAGGATCCTCTAGATCACTTGAATCACCACCATCATCACCACCAAGACCCTTACAACCACCCAGATCTGCATCACCACCACCACCTTCCCCACCATCACCAGTCGGATGAAGGGCCGCTGGACGGCTCCCCACTTCATGCTGAGGAGGATTACCCTGACTATGATTTGGACTATGACCGGGAAATGGAAGTAAGTCTGAGACAGCTTTTAATTTCCCCTTAGTTGTACATGTACATGTACCACAGCTTAAAGGTAGCGTCCATTATTTGTAATTTGTGCTTTACATCTGTTTGAAGCAAAAATCTGTGCTCAAAATCTAAAGAAGGGTGCTGAACAACTAACCTGATGAAGTTTCAGCTCAGCTTCAGCTGTATATTTTGAGAAAAACAACATTCTAGGATCTCGGTTTCAAATTAAAAGTTGCTGAGTCATGTTTCTGATTGGGCCTGAATTCAGCATCCGGGACACCTTCTCACTGAGCTGATTGCAGCTACACGATGTCGCGCACTGAACCTACGGCGCGGCTCGCCGAATAAAAAAAATAGATTTATCAGTACTAACAGAAATTTCCAACGATGCGTCTTTAGACGCAATGTTGGAAAGGCCTTCTTTCATTGATATCTTCAAAATGACAGCATGCCAGAAAGACTAATTTCACAGGGAGTTTAGTCCTATTACTTTCTTTAAACCATGCTTTTCAACAATAATTACATTGGTTACTTTTTGATGGTAAATGATGGACTGTACCTTTAAATGGGTAGCCGGGCAAGAAGCATTTTCTGGAGATATGTAAATACAGGGTGAGTAAAAAAAAAAACGAAACCCGAATGTCGGGACTATTGTTTTATTGAAGTGCTGCACGTAGCACTTTCAAAAACTAGGATATGAAAGCCCAATTCACAAGCTTTCTTTTAGTACATGTACAAGAATCATTCAAATCACTCATGTACATGTACTTTTCAAGTTACAAAATTTTAAACACAACCACCATTTTAAAGTTCTGTCCACGGATCACAAAAAAAGGTGTGCGTTCTTTCAGCAAAACGAAAACAATTCACACACATCTCTATGTGATTTCTTTTCGTTTTGCTGAAAGAACACCGAACTTTTATGTGATCTGTGGACAGAACCTTAAAACGGTGGTTGTGCTTAAAATTCCGTAACTTAAAAAGTACATGAGTGATTTGAATGTTTCTTGTACTAACATGACTAAAAGAAAGCTCATGAATTCGGCTTTCATATCCTAGATTTTAAAAATGCTACATGCAGAACTTCCCTAAAACAATGGTCCCAACATTTTGGTTTTTTTTTTTTTTTTACTCACCCTGTACAGTAAACTCTTGTTAAGTCAATTTTTTTGGGGGGGCCAGTCCATAAGAAACCACTGCCAAAACAGTCACAAAGAAGTGTCCTGGAGGGTAAAACTTGTTTTCATGAGTTACATGTATTACTGCCCAACGCACTTCATCTTTTTACATTGTACATGAGGGATGCAGTGCAACAAATCCTGGCTTTCGAGTTTAAATAGCAAGATTGCCGTCACTATTTTTTTGTTGCTATTTTTTTCACCAGATTGCAAAGACAAAACAACACAAAGGGATACTCTGGAAAGTTTTTATGAACAACTTGAAATAAAAGAAGGGTTTTTTTGGTTTATTTTTTTTTTACTGGTTGCATGACGCAATTAATTAACATACATACATGTACATGTACATTTTACATGTAAAATGTACCATGTTTACAGGGACATGTATGATGCCACTCTTTGAAATGTAACATTCATTTGACCTTGTGTCCTCTGTGGTAAAATGGAGAATTAAAATAAGCAGGTCACATTATGACTCAAATTTCATGAATATTCAATCTTTGATTCAAGCTTTGAGATTGGTCGAAACTACCATAGGATGGTACCTGCAACTCTTCCCACACAGATTACTATTACTATGACAATACAAGTATTGCATATTCAGCTCGCAACTCAAGCATGCATGTACATGTTTTAGACTTAAACACAGGCCATACAGCTTTTTACATGTAGGTGTGTCAACAGCCAGCATATTTTGTACACGTAGGTGAAGTGTAAAAAAAAACAATAAAATTTTACCATCTATTCTGCTTCCATGAAAGAAATTATGGCAAGCATTTGTGAAAAACCAGTTTGTTGATGGCAGTCACAAATACATGTGTGTAAAATATCATATCATCATGCCTGTGGATCGTACCGTATGTTTGTGACATGTTTTGATGTAAATCTGCTATTGCGCATGTGAGTATAGATAATGTACCTTCCACTTTTCTTTGAAGAAAAATTTGCCAAAAGTTGATTAAAGTTGTAGATGTTGGCTGTGGATGTTTGTGTGTCAAGGCTGGTTTTGGTGCGTATCTTTTGAAATTTGCAACGATGTCATCAACTTCTGGCTCTTATGAATAGAAATAAGGCTTTTTGGTTGTGGTAACAGTTTTCATTTTTGTAATTCTGATTTGCTAGGTTTTCTGGTACCGTACAGTTGTTATTTTCTGGAAAAAACTTAAGTGTGACCATTTTTCTTATGCTGACTGAACACTAATGGATAGGGCAAGGTTATATTTAACAATTGTTGACTGGTGTGATGTGGGATATGACGTTTTGAACACCCAAGGGGCGCATAGCACCCAAGAGGCGCATAGTGCCCGAGGTGAAGCCGAGGGTGCTATGCGCCCCGAGCGTGTTCAAAACGTCATATCCCACATCACACCAGTCAACAATTGTTTTGTTATGGTCTACAATATTATACAGTATAGGACAATGTTGTTTGTGGCCAGTTACTGAGAAATCTTAAGTTAACTACCGGTATCTCATCATAAGAAAGTGGGTTTTTTTCAGTTAGTATTAATTAGGAAACTAATGAACATGATTCATGCATTATATATACCGGTTTACTTGTACTGTACTTGAATGAAGATTCATAAATACCTAAGACAGTTTACACATTCCTATTGGTCGAGAGCCCGTCACGTGGCCGGTCTTAAATGGATGATAAAGACATGGCTAGCTGGTCTTAAAACACTTTTCCGGTGCCTTTTAACGTTTCATTGGTTGAACGTTCACATTCCTCACGTACGCATGCGCAATACTACCAGTGAATCAGCGCAGTACGCGCGACGCGCACGCCGATGTCCTCATAAGGTAACCAGTTGTGGGAGGGGCATTCCATATTATAGTCAGAGGGGTGTTTCGTAAAACATGAAGTAAAATTGTTGAACAAAATGGTTGGCTTGTTTTGATTTTTGGACCGAAAAGATTTGTTTTTTTTTTGACCGAAAAGTTATTCATGAATGGGAATAAATATGTGTTCGGTCGGTATTAAACACCCTGTTTAAGACTGGTGGGAGTCTGGATGGGTGATACTTACCCATCCAGACCCACCGGTCTTAAACAGAGTGTTATAATACCTCCCTTAGTAATATTCCCTTAGTAATGGGTAGGGCAGGTTGTTAATGGTCGGCTGCTGAGAAATCATCCAGCAGCCTTGTTAACTAGATATCTCAAAACAAGAAAGTTTGTTTCAGTTAGTATTACGTAATTAGGAAACCAGAGAACATGATTCTTGAACATACGGTACATGTACTTGAATATACATGTACAGTAATGGGTGAGGCAAGTTTGTTAATCATCAGCTGCTAAGAAACCATACAACAGCCTTGTTAACTAGATATCTCATAACAAGAAAGTTTGTCTCAGTTAGGCCCCCTTTCACAGGGCTGCGACCTTTGCACCACCCATATGAGCGACCAAAAAATGGCCAGGACGCTCGATGGTCGCCTAAACCCAGAAAATCAGTTTCTATGTAACTCCTGCAGCGATCCTTGTGCCTCCCTTGAACCTGCCATTTTCGCGCATTTTCATGTCGAGCTACGAGCAACCTGTGCGTCCACTGAGCCACTTGCCTGCCTCCACTGTGCTTCCTCCTGTGCAACCTATGGCCATGGTGGCTCAAGGGTTGCCGTGGTCCCAGAATGGAGGCACAGCGGTCGCCACAGTCATCGTTCAATATATGCATGCTATTGGTCGGCCAAAGGAGGCACATGGGAGGCACAAGGGAGGCAGAAGCATCACCCAGATTGACGGTAAAATTTGCAACAGAACGGATCTATTACGTGGCGACCATTGGCCGACCATTGTGCATCCATTCTGCAACCACGGCAATGCTTGTGCCTCCCTTCTGCCTCATTTGAGCCACCTTGGAGCAACCAACCTCCTCGGCGACCTTTGTGCGACTGTTTTGAACATGTTCAAAAATTTACGGCAACCATGGCGTCCATGGTGATGTCTGAACATCCTGTGTACCACCTTTGAACGACCTAGGAAACCATTCAGCCTCCTTTGAGCCTCCAATGGCGACCTGGCCAGTTTTATGGTCGCACAAGGGAGGCCCAAAGGTCGCAGTCCTGTGTAAAGGGGGTCTTAGTATTAATTAGAACGTGATTCTTGCACATGTGTATGTACAAATTTACATGTACTTGAATGTACATGTAGAGTAATGGGTGAGGCAAGTTTGCTGATGATCAGCTGTTGAGAAATCATACAGCAGCCTTCAGTTGCTTGTTAACTGTACCTCATGACAAGAAATTCGCAGTCTCAACTAGTATTAATTAGGAAACCAAAGAACACGATTCATGCGCATGTACGTGTGCATGAGTGTACAGTAATGAAAAGGGCAAAGTTGTTAACCCGTTCAGGCAGGGATTATTTTGAAAAGAACGGAACGAGGCGAGGCACAGGATTACTTTTCACTCGACCTCCTGCCAGGCGGGTTGAAGACATCGTTCTTGGGCAACACACTCATGTTTCCGGCGTCGCTCGCTGCGAGCTGTTCACTGACAGATATTTCCGGCCTCGTTCCCTGCTTGTTTATCCGTCATCCGTTCCGAGTAGCACCCAACCTATGCGTGTACGTCATCCGGCGCAAACTGGTTAATGGTCAGTTGCTGAGAAATCCTAAGGCAGTCTTGTCTTGTTAACTGTATCTCATCATAAGAAATTAAAGTGCTTTCAGTTAGTATTAATTAGGAATCCAAAAGAAATTGGTCCATGCACACGTGCAGGACTGTTCCTTGGACGTCAGAGCTGCAGAGTTTTTGGCAATAGACATGTTAGAGCCAAGACTACCATGTGTATATGAATGTACTGTATCATATCTTTGGCAGCACTTCCTGTAGGTACGATGGCTATGATACATGTAGATTGACGGTATAACAAGATGAAAGTGTATGTGCATGCTTAACTAATCGCATTTACAAACATCAAATTGTTGCTGACAAGCTGAGATCATGTAACAAACAATCTGCACTAAAAATCTGAAGCAACAAAGTTGGAGTTGTTCTTTAACGTGTCAAATTCTCTGTCTGCTATGACTAGCCACTTCTGAAATAAACACATGTACATATGTATGAATGTACATGTATGTTAATGTATGCGAGAGAGGAGAAACGCAGTGAATACACTTTATGAGTGTACTCAGCTAGTTGCAATGCAGTCGCTAGAGCTCTGAAAAAAATACATGTATTGTACTTACATACAACAGGCTATAAAATCATGGATGTGTTCCATTGCCAGTGTTTCGTGATTGTATGCAAACGTTAGCAATGTTTGGGATGATTACGTCAGAGAAATGCATGTTTGTATTGTAAATATTTTCATTTTATATAGTTACTTGTCCAGGTTAAAACGTGTTTCTCTTTCAACTTTTCAGGCTTACTATGGGGAGGGTTACTCCGAAGACGATAACGTTCGCTACGCAGAAGAGGATATGGGCGATTATGTAGAGGACGATCAAGGCAGCTACTCAGAACCAGGAATAGAGGACGGTCGCGCCCCTTACCCGAACGATTACTACTCAGACGAGTACGACCCGCATTACCGCGAGCACAGCTTTGACGAGTACAGCCGGGACGAGTTTGAACGAGGGGAGAGTTTTGATATGCCCCAGAGCGACGGGGAGTCGCTGACGAGTAGTGGGGTGGGACAACGCGCACCCCGCCCGGAATATATGTACGCTCAGGATAGTTTAAGTGGACACGGAAGTAGACCCTCATTAGGAACTGAAAGGTAAGACCTGTTCTTATGTCAGCCTTGTCCTATTAATATGGCTGCTCTCCAAGTCAGGTAAACGTTCCAACGTAAAAATAACACCCCCCCCCCCCCCCCAAAAAAAATTAACAAAAAAAATATATATTTCAAATTACAAAAGGTCCTCAAGTCGATATGATGAAGCCTGCCCATTGACCCTGGCAAGCGTAGTTGTCGAGTAGTAAAACATATCGGTACGTAAGAGATAGATGATTTGTGCTGTTGAACAAGCTTCCCACAAGAACGCTGTTTGCACGTGTACAGTGCTTATAAAATATTGTTCCCGAAAGGCATGAACCCAGTACATGAAAAGAAACATGCACAACAGTTAGACAAAAATTTAGCAACTGTGACATGGTGTAACTTGAGGAATCATAATTTTGTTAAGACTCACACACAAAAAGACCCAAGCAATTGATATCTAGCTGGTCTGGAGCATTGAATTCATCGTCTGCTGGTACCACTGATCTCTATATAAAGACGGGATAGCGGATAATGAGCCGCACAATGAATGAATTTGACGCCATATTGGTGAGACCGGTGAGACCGGCTGGTGATCTACAAAGGACAAGTTGCCGTCTTTATAGACAGCAAGATTTCTTTTGTAACATTGCGGTTCACTTGATTTATATTTTGACCACCACCACTGATCACGGTTTTCAATTTTTCTAACGTCGTGGTTTACTTCTTTTTTTTTTAAAGTTGCAGTTTCATTTTCGACCTTTTGGAAATAATAATCACTGCGGAAATGTGTCCTTTTTAGAACATCATAATGCGTGTACGTGACCAAAATGCGCATTAACTCTTCATACAGCGCGCGCAATATATACGCATAGAACGTTCGTAATATACGCGGCCATCTTCGTGAGACCGGGGCGAATTGGTCAATACGCAAAGTCTACGGTGTGAATGGTGTATGAATATCCGCTATCCAGTCTTTATATAAAGATCAGTGGCCGGTAAATGTAGTTCTGCAGGTTGTGGGTTCAAGTCCAGCCAGGGGTTATGGTGCGGTGGCCCTTAATTGTGCAAGACACTGTAATAGTCACTCATTGCTTCTCCCCACCCAGGAGTCAATGGGTACCTGTGTGGGCAAAGATGGTGGTCAATTTTAGCTGCTTTGCGCCAAAATGGCCGCATCCAGCTGTATACTTCCCAGGGAGCTGAGATGGTATTTGGAATGTTTCATTGGCCCATTACGTGCGCTTTATACATTGTAAATACACATTATAATTATTAATATACAAACTCTCAAATATGCAGCAGTCCTGTGCATTCAAAATGACATATTTAAAATACATATAGGACAGTACAGGGAGTGGGGTGTGTACCAAACATGTGCATGTACTTTTCCAATGCAAGAAGTAATTTGCTATCTTGTGCACATAAAATAAATGTACGTGGACACAACCTGTGTTTAATCAGTTGAAAAGCTCATGTTCAATATCATGTGCATTTGTAGATCACACTTTATTTGCAAGGTGGAATTGAATGGGGGTGGGGGAATGAAAGTACACAGTTGAACAAGCATACAGTCATAGACATTGCATTTTGAACAAATAATGTTTATCCAAAAGTAAATTTACAACCCCAGGTTCACGTACATGAACACATGTGCTGGAAATCTTCATTGCATTTCTCCTTCTATCCCAATACCCCGTCTCCCCCCCCCCCCCCCCCCCCCACAGCCTTGTCAGCAGCCAGATGTCATCTCCACGCATGAGCAGGGACAACCTTCAGGAGGAGGATCCCAGCATGGACGTCGCGCCTCATCACCACCCAGAGGAGGCCGGAAGCGAGGCAGACTATGAGAGCCACATCACGCCGGCCAAGGCCCGCTGGCTCAATGCCTTCCATCGGGTCCGGCAACAAATGGAAGAGGTGAGTTTGTCATGATTCCACTCATGGGCGTCGCCAGACGAATTGGAATTGGAGGGAGGGAGGTGTTAACAGAAAAAAAATTGCCAGGAGTTTTACACAGTCACCCGGCTGTCGCTAAACCGAAAAGGTGGGGGGAGAGGTTTACTGGATACCGTCTGACGAATGTGGAGACTAATCAAAGCGACAGGACTGGACATTGTCAGACAATAGGTGGCGCTATACTCTGTGGCATATTGCCAACAGACCCATGATTTGCCAACAAGTAAATAGTTTTGCTGCCAAAACAAAAAATGTGAGTAGGGGTGTGTGACATCTTGCGACGTTCTTGATCCTACCTACATGTAGTTGAGGATCACAAATCATCACATGTCCATCACAAGTCATCTTCAAACATCTCCATATTAAGGATGGTAAAACATTATCACAAAACTTTTCTATGGGGCTCTAGCTCTGCTGCTCATGAAGCTGTTGACCAACCACAGAATGGTCCTAAATGTTAATTTAGACCAGTCCAACCATCATTGACAACCATACGTTTTTATAATCAGAATTAGTTGCATTGCGGTTAACCATAACTATAGTTCCAGTGCAGAACTCATGCTTATTCTGTTGCTAAATGCTCCCATTCCTGGCCTTTTTGCCAATTCTTCCTTTTGAAAATGCCTGACATTGCTCAACAAAGGAGAAGTACCATAAAACATATCTCAACCATTTGTGTTTTTTCTGCCTTTTTTTTCTCCCAGGAGCGCTCAGCCTATTTGGAGGAGAGTGCCAATGACTTCTCAGGTAGAGGTCTATGGAGCAGTATAGCCAATGGAGGGTGAGTACAGTACCAGTCAGTTCTACGGGTACACAGATGTGCATCTTTTTCCCCATGAAAGCAGTAATTTTCCAAACTCACATTTAATAATGAATTAGTTTCCCCCAGTTTTCCACTTTTCACCTCAAAGTTGCCCGTCTATTGGTGGGTGCCAAACTTTAGGGTTAGGGTTTGGATAATATATGTGTAGTTATATGCACACTAGTAAAGTTGCATCTTTTGTTGACAAAAGCATTGATGCATGAAACATTTCTCCAAAACTGGATCCTTAAAAGGTATCCATTCAGTTGAACAGACGTGTTCATCCGAAACTATCAGAAGCAAAATTAAGTCCCACTGCCTGTGCAGAATGGCAGTTTGGCAAGTCTAAGACCAATTCAAATATTGTCTCCAATTTTCTTACGTTGCAAATTCAACGTCAGCCTGTCACGCCTGCATGGGCACTTTTTTTGTATCTCAACTTGCAAATCTTAATGATTCATGACCCAAGCAGCTGCTTTGACAACAAAAATAGCTACTTGACAAGCGTTATTTACAACTTCGGCCTCACTAATAGTCTAGCGCTTGATCGCTTTTGAAATGTTGATGGTAGGATTTATAAACACGAAGAACAGGCTCTCCGGTCCAGTACCCACGCATAAAATTTCAGCAGGTTGGGCTGATGTACTGTTGACTTCCTTGATTTTGTTCCAAGTCACTCTCCACAAATGTACCTTTGCATGGTTTCCCAACGTAAGATTGAAACTGAGATCTAAACCAGATGGACTTTCACCTATTGACTAGTTCATTTATGGCCAATGTTGAACATTTAAAGTGCATTAATATTGTGTTTTTTTTTATTTGTTTTGTATGCAACCTGCTTTGGCAAAGTGCCAGAAAAACACATGTAATACATACATACATTATGTATACCACAAGTCTGTGTCAAAAGCTGAAATGGTTGGGCGATATTCAAATTTGATATGATTTGAATTACATTAAGTTGTAAATTTCAAAATGTTTAGCTGTTAAGGCTTATTTGGCAATTTCCAATTTTAGTCTCTGAGGTTTAATCTGTGATGTCTTTTAAGATTTTGGCAGTATCTGAACACTTTCTTGGAACGTTTCAAACATGACAAAGGGTTTTTTACCCAAATTTCTAAATTTTAATTTGTCCTCAAATTTTGTGGAGCAGGTTGCATATGTATATTGAGCTACATGTAACGGTAAAGTAAAGTCTGTCATGATGGTCGATCAGGCCGGCATTTATCTTTGGTTTCCTTGGCATGAAACAACTTCGAATATTTCTATAACCCCTCAATGGGATGCCAGTCCATCACAGGTTACTCCCCAGCTAATGCTGGTACACATTGAAACTCCTGGGTGGAGAGAGGCAAGTGGGGGCAAAGTGGCTTGCCCAATGACATAACATATGCCAAACAGTTGGATTTGAAACCCTGACCCTCTGATCATGAGCTACAAACCCTAACCACTAGGCCACACTCCCCACAAGCTAACAGTAGCCTGAATAAATCTGAATTTTTTTTTCAAGTCTCAATAACATTATCAGTGTGAATAATTCTGAACTTTGAGGAAACAAAAACAAATATTTGAGAAACAAACATTAAAAATTAAACAAAAAGTAGAAAGAGGTTTTCATTAACCCTAATATAACTCCCTAGGCATTTTGCTAGGATGTAACCTCAATCCTGAAAAATCCTCCAACTGCCCCCATGCAAAAATAGCATACAGCCTCAATCCTCCAAAATCCTCCCATTGCCTCCATGTAAAAATTGCATAAAGCCTCAATCCTCCTCAATCCTCCGTTCTTGAATGTGGTCCTTGGAGGGCTGACTACTTAGTACAGTCGGAAAAGGGGGGTATCGTGCACCCTCGGAAATCAATTTCTAATCAACGTTTCTAGGTCAGAAAAAATGCGTAGAAAACGATTTGCTATGTTAAAAAATTCAAAAAATGTCCCACGTATTGTTTTTATGCAAATTAGTGCCGCCATTACCGAAAAATCTATTTGTAACTTTATCTCAGCGAATATTGCAGATAACTGAACGAACTAGGTGTCTAAACCCATGTTTTCAAGGTCAGAGATCACAATAAAACTATTCTGGAAGTGACCACATGTGTCTGTGGCATAGGAATATGCAAATTAGTGCCGCTAATACCGGAAAGTCATGTTTTTGGCATATCTCGGCCAATATAGCACATAACTACACCAGTAAGGTGTCTAAACCCATGTTATGAGGGTCAAGTATCATTAGAAGACCATTCACGAAATAACTATGTGTGTCTTTGGCATGAAAATATGTAAATTATAAAGTGTCGGTTTATCAGATATTTTATTTTTAGCCAAAATCTCGGCCAATATTGCACTTAACTACACAAGTAAGGTGTCTAAACCCATATTTTGAGGGTCAGGTATCATTAGAAGACCATTCACGAAGTAACTATGTGTGTCTTTGGCATGAAAATATGTAAATTATAAAGTGTCGGTTTATCAGATATTTGATTTTTAGCCAATATCTCGGCCAATATTGCACATAACTACACAAGTAAGGTGTCTAAACCCATGCTTTGAGGGTCAGGTATCATTAGAAGACCATTCACGAAGTAACTATGTGTGTCCTTGGCAGGTAAATATGTAAATTCTAAAGTGTCGATTTATCAGAAATTTGATTTTTAGCCAATATCTCGGCCAATATTGCAGCTAATGTTGACAGAAGGGTTTCTGATAAGCAATAATTATCAAAGTTTATTTTAAGCCATCATATTCAAAATAAACTGTAATATTGGCTAAAATTGAATATAATTTGGCTGAAAATAATTTTCTTGATAAACCGGCAATTTAGAATTTACATATTTTCATGCCAAAGACACACATAGTTACTTCGTGAATGGTCTTCTAATGATACCTGACCCTCAAAATATGGGTTTAGACACCTTACTTGTGTAGTTAAGTGCAATATTGGCCGAGATTTTGGCTAAAAATAAAATATCTGATAAACCGACACTTTATAATTTACATATTTTCATGCCAAAGACACACATAGTTATTTCGTGAATGGTCTTCTAATGATACTTGACCCTCAAAACATGGGTTTAGACACCATACTGGTGTAGTTATGTGCTATATTGGCCGAGATATGCCAAAAACATGATTTTCCGGTATTAGCGGCACTAATTTGCATATTTCTATGCCACAGACACATGTGGTCACTTCCAGAATAGTTTTATTGTGATCTCTGACCTAGAAAACATGGGTTTAGACACCTAGTTCGTTCAGTTATCTGCAATATTCGCTGAGATATAATTAAAAATAGATACTTCGGTAATGGCGGCACTAATTTGCATAAAAACAATACGTGGGACATTTTTTGAATTTTTTAACATAGCAAATCGTATTCTACGCATTTTTGCTGACCTAGAAACGTTGATTAGAAATTGATTTCCGAGGGTGCACGATACCCCCCTTTTCCGACTAAACTAACTGCCTCAATCCTGCAAAATCCTCCCGCAATCACTGTCAATATGTTGAGACAGAACCATTGACATCTAGGAGTAGTACAGAGGATTTTGAGTATACATGTATAGGCTTAAATTTATGCACGGCTGAGCATAAACACCACAAGACCTTAACAGAGTGCACACATTTTTGCCATAAAGCCTAAATTTTGCAAAATCCTCCATTTTGCAAAGAGGATTTTGGAGGATTTGGGAAGGTTAGGGTTAATGACAACCTGAGGCTCTGAACGACCGTAAAAAAATTGGATTATCTGGCAGTTTTTGTTTTAATTTGGTTCATAAACATTGTAATTTATACTCCCCCATACAACACAAAATATGTCCAGTTTCAACTACAGTCTGATGCTAGGTGTTGAGCCAGAATTGGACACCATGCCTTTTAGCATGGGCCCCTCAGTATCGACGCTCAAGAGAGGCAGGATTTCAACACTAATGGTAACCCCAAGCCACCAAAGAGTCGCCCATTCACACACTCAAAAATCTCACTCTTCACAACTCTCTCGTCTTTCATTTAGAAAAGTAGAAACGCTGTACAAACCATTTCCGAACGCCCACACTGTATATTAATGACATGAAATTGTTCGTTCATAAAAACAGCTTTGTGTTTCAAGGTTGAGGTGATGAATTTTTTGTCCATATGGTTGTTTTTCGTTGAAAAGCTGTCAATTATCAGCCCACGATTATGAAGTCATTGAATAATGACAAGGATAGATTAAATTAAAATCAAAGACAAACTTGAATTTCATTAACAAATAGCAGAACTTCAGCTCTTGTAAACATGTTAATTGTTTGTCCCTTCCATTAGATCAAACCTGATATTCTTTCAGGAAAAAAATGGAATGGTGTTGAACCTTTTATCTGAAAGCAAAAAAAAAAAAGCGAAATTGAAAAACTGCCATTGCAGGACCAAACTGCAAAGTTGCTGTTTCTGTTAAGCTTACATTTGAAAGCCAACCATTTGAAGCTAAACAAAATGAGTGCAATTCAATTATAATGTCAACTGCATATTTCTCAAATCATCAATCAGGATATGACTTTCAACTATTAACTGAATTGTCTGCTCTCCCCCATTTCCTCCCATGTCTTCTTGTCACTTCCTCCTACTCTCCATCGTACCTGATCAACCTGCCATTATCTCTTGATTGACCACTCTGCCACTGTCTGGCTGCTTTGTCCCTGTGTTTCTCCCTGGCTCTTCCCCCGATCCCACTTCTGACACCGTTTTCTTTTCTTTCGTCCCTGTCTTCCTTATCACCTGCTGTCATTACCTGATACCTTCCTCTTGTTTGTCTCCATCCTGTCTCATACCTTGTCCTGTCCCTGACACATTCTCTACCTCTCTTCTTGTTAACCTTGTCAATTTCGTCATTTGTAACATCCAATCATGTCTGCTGTTCTGTACCATTGATCCCACGTTCTTGTCTCTGTTCTGGGACTGTTTTGTTTCTTTCTACATTTTCTCATCCTCTTATTTCCTGCCTCCTTTCCTGTTATTTGTTGTCTTCTGTTGTGTCTTTTCTCCCTTTCCCGGCTTTTCTTTTCCGTCGATCAATCACTCCTTCCACCCCCTTAGTCTTTACCTTGATATAAACTCAATGCCGGAGATTCTGCCGCGACGAAAGTCAATACCTCTGGTGAGATCTTTTTTAAAAGATGTATTTTATTGGTGGATGTTTCTTTTTTTTTAATTCCTGGTAGTCACAGTCGATGTGAACAGTGAAGCATGATTTGTTGGGTCGTGTTAGAATGTTCACATAGTCGTGATGTAAAATGAAATAATTTTATGTTACATGTATTTGTACATCATGTGTGCATGCTTGGTGCCATCTTAATCACTTTCATCATCTCATAACACACAGATCTGTACATGAACATGTATTATATATTTGTTGGCTTTGTACACGTATGTATGACTGCGCTTGTTCTGTTCCTAGAATATAGGGCCCTACTTGTAAATATTTTTTAGAACGTTCAAGAGGACTTTTTTTTTACTTGAATCCAAAAAATCAAAAGTTGTTATAATTAGTAATCAGTCTTATTACTTAAGTTTAACCTGAGCAATTTTGTGAGTTGGTGAGTGCCTATGGCAGAAAGTGCTTACATGCACACAGGCCAAATATTAATCTGAGTGTGTGCAAAGCTTTAGTGTCTTCAGTTGTATGGCTGTGTCGTCACACTGGTGTTTGAATGTCTGTCATACCTGTACATGTATCTTCATTCGAGTTGAACCAGTATATTGTCACCATTTTGACGAAGTGACGCATCTGTGCACACAGATGCAAAACAGAGTTTTGAGAAAATTGCGTTTGAAGTTGGTGGATTTTTCAATTTGCATTTTTGCGTACATTTCTCCACCAGAATTGAAAAATATATAACTGAGACAATAGCCCAGGAGTTAAATAGCCAAAAACAGTTATCTCTGTTCATAAAATCGTGTTTAATTAGAAGATATTTATTACTAACGATATATCTGTCACTTCGTCAAAACGGAAAATCTACTTCTTCACAAAAATGAGGCATACCGGTATGTTTGTACACAGCGCGTGCCCGTATATAAAATGTATACATTTTAGAACGCAGATGCGTCACTTCGTCAAAACGCAAATCATGGAGGCTTCATATGTCTAAATGTAGCACACGTGTATAGTTCAACGAGACTAAGTGACACATAGAGATTCGTCACCTCGTCAAAACAAAAAAAGTGTGTAGCGCTTTCAACACTTGTGCAATTAGCGTAATTAACGAATGATGGAATGTTGTGTCTCGACATTTGGTAATCATGTAGAGGGCATCATAAAATGTTAGAATATCCAAAAATCTCAGCTTCAGAAAATCTCGGTTTTGGATGGATGTGTCACTTCGTCAAAATGGTGACGATATGATGGAGTTCTTAAGTAGAACTTAACGTCAAGTTATTCCATACATGCACAATTAAGATGTAAATGTACTTGTACCAGTAAGTCACACTCCGTGTGCTAAAATCTATGTGTGTTTTTTTTCTGTTGCACTTGCACATTCATGTAAATTATGCATGCTATCTTTTTTTTTATATATCATACATGTACATTCACTCAAATAAAGATAGGGGTGGAGGGTTTTCACATTACATTCCATATAATACTGTTGTTTTTATTATTTCTATTTTTATTTCTAATAAAACACAATATTATGATAAGTAAAGTTAGTTGTAGTACACGTAGTTGACATTCCTTAAATATGTTTGGTACATGTACATGTACCAGTAGCTATACATTGGTGACAATATTCAATTATGAAACTAATTGCAATTGAAAGTGGATAATTAAATCAGCTCCCTTAGGGAAAAATAATCATAGGTTGCCTTGAACATGATTTATCAACTTGGCTCACAAAAAACAACCCAAATTAACTCCAGGATGGATAGAAATTGTCCGTGTAAACTATCCTGCCGAAGGACATAATTAAGTGCATAATTTCTGCATTTGCAGGAAAGTGTACATGTATATACACTGTATGTGGTTCAAACACAGCAAACCAACTCTCGAACCAAGGTGAAGAACCAATAAAAAGACATGACACTTAATGCTAATTAGTCAAATACGAACGTGGAAATTACATTATCCTCCTATAGATATCATTTTCAAGGACTTTCTTTTGTTTTTTTAAATGGGAATAACATAGTACTGCATCGATATAGCTTTTAACTGCAATTTAACCCAAGGTTTTGGATTGGAGGCATCGGATCGCTCAGATTAAATTCCTGATAATGTTAACCTCGGGCACCATCAGTGAATACATTCAATTATGATCATGATAGACATAGGATGGATAAATTTCAAGGCTTAATTGTGAAACGCATGAAAAACGAGCTGAACATTCAAAGTTGACAGGCAATATGATATAAACGGAATATACATTTGCAAACGTAAAAAAAATACCAACTTATTATAAAATACCTTACTTGACTGTAAGTGAATAATAATCTCAAGCATCCTGTGAAAGCATGGCCCCTGGTGTACTGTCATTTGCAAGAAATTAAGAGAAATTTTTGTATCAATTTTCAACGATAGTCGGCTGACCATCATTGGAAAAAAACTTTTATTTTATTGCGCCATTTTGTTTGAAGGGTCAGGGAACCAGACTACAAGAACAGCATTTTTTTCTTGGTTTTGTCCAGCATCTATGAACACAAAACAAGTCAGTGTAACAATATTTGCTATAATATACTAACCCCAAATCCATCCATTTCTGAAAATGCCAGCCAAAGCAAATGTTGTACCTGTATATTACCAAAGTAATAATGTTCGCTTGGCGCAAAACTGAGATATCACAGAAGAAAGGCTGTACAGAATACAATTCCATCTTTTTTAATACTATAATTTCGACAACTGAGGGGCCATTCAAAATTAAAATGCAATGTTTTTACATTTCAGATGTTTTTTTTCCCCACATTTGTTTTTGTCCCGGCCCACCCACCAACTCCAATTTTTGATCTTAAAAAATCGCCTTGTTTTTCAATACAGTCCAAATATTTTTGTTTAATGCATGTAAAGTGAATGTTGATTTTCAATTATTTTCCCTGACCCACCCGCCCACATTTCGAGAAAAATGAAAAATTGAATTAGAAAAAAAAATGATAATTTGTATGGACCCTTACACAATTTTGTTTGCTTACGGTAATTCAGGGGTTTTTTTTTTTTCGAAGTACAAAATTTTATAACTTTCAACTTTAAAACCCTACCTGTTCATTTACATGTCCATGCTGAGTTTAATTGGCTTTTTTTTCTGGACCACATGTATTATTTGCCCTTGGAAGAAGGCCAAATGTTTTGGCCTTGGCAGCGTTGTGGGACAGTTTAACTGAGTAAAAAAACATGCAGGCGCCTGGGACGGATGCCAGCGTAGGCAGCCTAGTGAGTAACAGTGTGACTGTGGGTCATGCTTGAGCGGTTCCAATATGAGCTTCATCATTACCACAAGCCACGCCATCTGCTGGTTCTGTCATACACTAACCAATCCATCATAGAAGAGCGTGACGCAGTTCATATGAAACCAGGCAGAAGTTACGCACCTAAAACCTTTAACTTTATAGACTAATTTTTCGTTATCAGAATTTTAAGTCAGATCCATCCATTTTTGAGAATAACAGCAAAAGCAAATGTTGTATAAAGTACCTTTAAATATATTGCATTTTTTTATGATGGTAAGATGCCGTGTAGTAATGTTTTCAGAAATGTGTAAACTCTCGTTATCTGAAGCAACAGGAAATGTATAGTTCTAAATGAAAAAAAAAATATTCCTTAGAACAATATGTTAATAACTTTGTTTGATAGAACACCTCTGAGATGGATAAATTGAGAAAAATCACAAAAGAAGATGTTTTTAAGGCCGCCCACATGCAGGTTAACCTTGCGACGAAACAGAACAGTCGGCAACTGACTTTTCAGGATGAAGCTGGGCCTGACCTATGGCTTTCAGGAACGTTTCCGTCGCCGATTTTTTTTTGTGGCCTGAGTGTAACATGACTGCAATGATACTTAGACGAGCAGTATCAGTTGGCACTCAAAAACATCAACAGTCGCAAGACTAGAACAATTTTATCTTTTGCGCTGCGACAGAACATGTTCCCGACAGGCGGAATCAATCGCAGTCCACCTGTATGAAGTTACGACGTTATCGCGCATCCGGATCATCTTATTTCATTGTTTAGCCAATCAGCATGCGTAAAAAATGGCTGAATGAACAGACCTGGCCCTGGAAGATCGTTTGATTGTTATCAACACGTTCACTGCCATTTTGAACGTCACATGATCTTGTCTACGCCGAGGAATCCTTGTCGCGTTGTGGGTGATGTTAGTATGGTTGTGGTTATTTTGTGTCGAGATGCCACTTGTTCCACGAGAATCACACGATCGCTCAGTTGTGTGACCTGAGCATGACTTTTCTGCTTGAGCCACCCGTTCCGTCGCGCGCCGCGCAGGCAAATCGCAGGTTGACCGGACGCAGCCCCTAACATGGTGCAGTTGCTCAGAGTAGGAAGTGACCAGCTTGTGGCGCTGATGTTGTGTCAACCGAAGGGTCGTGAAATCACTCTAATTACCGCTACACAAGGCAACGTGTTGGCAGCTTTAATAGCTATCGCCAGCGAGGTGTGATGTGTTAGTACTGATCATCTACAAGCAAATCGGACAAATTGACAGGCAATAAACAACTAAATCATCCGAGACAGAGAAGTAGAGCTGTAAGGTCATGAGATTTGTAGGTCCATGTCGAATGGACGTTGACAAGATTTCTTTTAAATACCACTGACAAATATTTGATAAATAGCAAGACTAGACAAGTCTAGTAGAGCTGGTCCCAGAGTGCACAAAGTTCTCTAATCAATTCAGAACGGCTATTCACTGAAAGTACTTTCATGCATCTGGGCTACACAGTGGGCCAGTATTAGCCCATTCATTGGCGTTGCCAGGTATCATATATGATAGCACTGCCTGACTCCCAAGTGATAGTCAGTCAGTCAGTCAGTGTACATGTACATTGTACAAAGAAGAGGATCATAGGCATGCCCTCTGGGATAGACAAAAACTAATAAATTGTCACTGTTGTGGACAGTCACACATCACACATCATTACTGTCAGCTTTATTTGTATGATTTCTACTCCAAGCGAAGACATAAGTAGCACACATAAGGCCTTTTCACACTAGTCAAAATCTCAGGGGTGACCCGGGGTGAAGCCGGGGTGAAAATAAGCCATGATTCACACTTGAAATTCTCATTCCAATTACAGTAACTAAAGGCCTTTTCACACTGTCCAAAATCTCCGGGTTGGAACCGGTTCCAACCCCGAGATTTTTTTCAACCCTTTTCCCACTTCTAAAGTTTCAACCCGGTTCCGACCCGGGTAGAGTGCTCTAGCCGGATCGAAATCAACCCTGGGAGGGACCAGGGTTGAAAGTCTCAACCCGGATCGAAATTGCATTTTTCGGCGTGAACCGTGTCGAAAATGATAGTGTGAACCGCCCCGGGTTGAGTCACTCACGGCCGATCCGTGTTGAGTTGAGGCCGACATTTTACCGAAACTCTGACACGCCGAGCATAATAATATTTCCCTCCACCACTATCGCCGTCACAAACACCGATCCCAAAACAATCGCTCCCTAATTATCATCTAATATTGTATCGGTGTATGGAGCATCCTTTACCGAGTCTGGGCTTGTATTAGGTCCGCAAAATGTACCCCCAAAATGTACATTTCTAATGTTAAATAGAACGAATCGTCTAACGAAATGACCGGAGCCATTTTGGAAATATTGCACACAGCTGCGCTGGTGTCGTACAAAAATCGGACTCCCAAATCGGATTCGTTTACTCTCTTATTATTGGTCAAACCCTTTCACGTGACAGGTCCTTCTACCAATGGGCATGCGCAATACTACCAATGAGTCCGTATTGCACAGAGTAGTAAATTCACGCTGCACACCGGCCTGTCCGTAAGCCTGGTGCGTCGCAATGCATTATGGGATTGAGAAAATCATCGCAGCGCCCTGTGCCGAATGCGATCCGTGTCGAGAATTTGTAGTGTGAATTCACAGGGGCCGTAGCCGGATTGAACGTTACACGGTTCACGTAGCGGCCGTTCCCGTAAAGGACAGTGTGAACGTCGCGTCTCTCCGATCCGTGTCGAAAAATACTCGGGCTGAACCGGGTTGGATCCGGGTAGGTTTCAACACGGTTCGAAACGGAGATAGTGTGAAAAGGCCTTAATGCTATGAGAAAATTTCAAGTAATGTATCAGTGAGCAGTAGGCTTTTTTTGTGTTTATTAAGTTTCTTGTCCTAAATTCTAGTCCTCACTTTGGCTGCAGTTGAAATCATTGAAACAAAAAAGTTGTAATACAAATTCCAGAGTTTACTGTGTTCATTTTAAAGTCTTAAGAGTTAGGAACTTTGTACATGTACTCACCGGTTATGGTTTTCTAACAACTTCTCAGGTATTATTGGTTTGGTTTTGGGTATACATGCATTTTTCCTTTTAATTTTTTGGGTTTTTTGGGTGTTTTTTTTTTTAATTTTTACGTTGTGTTGTTATTTGTTGCACGTGTTGGTCGTGATGTTTCTGGTGTTCATATTGTAAAACTTGTTTCCATTGTCAATTATTTTTGTGTGCAAAGGTAGCAATTTATATACATCTTGTACCATGTCAAAATTTGTCAGGTATTCAGTTAAGTGTGAAATGTAATAATTAACTTTACTTTTGATATACATGTATTTATTTCAGATAGTGATAATGCAGTTTAACTACATTGATCAGACAAAGTGTCTGATTGCATGTTTGCCCGGAACGAGCTGTGATTCATTTCTATCAATTCAACTATTGCATCAGAAATTCTTATTCTTAGTAAACGTACTTTTTTAATATTTTTTTTAGTTTGCATGAACTTAACTGTAGTTTCTGCTTGTTTTCATAAGGACTGCAATTAGAAAGTACATGTTTGAGTTTGAACCAAGTTTCGTGTAAAGATCTTCCACTAACTTCATGTGGGAATCTTACATGAATGACTAAAGACTTTGTTTTTTTCAATTTTCCCTTTTGTTTTTCTTCCAATTCTTCCAAACCTGTAACATTCTTTTGTAAAGATGTGGCGAAAATTGGTAATGACTCAGTTAATGTTGAAGTTGGATTTCACACAGACAAAAAAAAAAGGATTTTTTTTTGGTGGTATCTGAACTACGGGATTGGAGTCTTTCACGCACTATCACAGAATGGCACACATTTCCACAAAAAGGGATGGAATTTTGCTACATAGCCGTATTTTTAACTTTTTCACCCATGTCTCCTTGGCAATGACTAATAATAATCCAATTTATTTGTCCACTTTTATAGTATATTTCATTTTAAATTTCATTTCACCGAAAAAGAAAATCATCAGGTTGAACTATTCTCACTTTTGTCCCACATGAAAATTTCAAGAAAGTTTGGGTGCTACCGGTATGCGGAAAGAACCTGTACACATCCATCATTTGGGCCCATAATGTGTGTCCACATCACAGCATAGTACAGCTACAGTAAAATGGTATAGGTCTCTCTCAAATGACGTCACTTCCTACAGATTGCCACGTGCATCGGCATTTTGGGTGTCAAATTTTTGTGATGCATATCGGCTGCGCTGTATTTCTAAGAAATTTAAGCAACATACGTGCGTGTTGAGAACATTTTGGTCGGGTCGGGTCGGGTCGGGTCGGGTCGGTTTAGTTGAAAAATTCAGGCGATGCAATATTATTGATAGTCACTGTGACCGCAGCCCATTGTGTGGTGTGGCCACCGAGCGCACTATCAAGTTCCCACGGTATTAACTTCTCCAGTCGGATCGGGACTGACGGTGAAATAGATAGATTGTAACGGGATCATGTGAAATAGATAGATTGTAACAGTTTTCATGATCCCGCTAGATGACCATGCGTTTGTTCAATAAGCGAAGTTACTCTCGATCAACCCACTGAGTATGACAGAGAGAGAGACGATGGTTTTGCAAACGAATTCATGCCATGTGGGTAAGGGCAGGCACCAAAAAAAGTGATCACTTTGTCCAAGCCAGTTATTCGGGTTTTTTTCGGGCTTTCTCGGGTCGGGTCGGTTTTACCTTATTTTTTGTCGGGTCGGGTCGAGTCGGTTTGAGGGAGTTCAGATCGGTTTCGGTTCGGATTCGGTTTATATCTCTAATGTTTCGTGTCGGTTTGGCCTGGTCAACCCGACCCGATGCACATGCAACACGCAGTTGTCATTTTCCTACGAAGATGGCGTCCTATGAGAGAGATCTATAAAAGTTTTCTTGAAAGATTTCGTCCAAGAATTCTTTGTGTTTAACTACCAAGAATATTGAACGTTCTTCTGAACAATACCGTAAGTTTAATTTTCACAACTACACTTTGGATTTGATCCAAATATTCCCAACCCAGTCTTTGCCATGGCTATGGAAAAAAACCATGCACAATTTTTTTAACAAATCTTCTCAACATTCGGTCCAATCTTGGTTCCTGTCTTGACACCTCTCTCTCTCCCTGTCTGTCACCCTGTTTGTCATGCTCACCTCTTCAGGAGATTGGAGTCAAAAGCTTTTGTTGGGTAAGGAAGCACTCTGTGGTGAACTTTGACCTTTGACATGACCTGCATGGTTTTTTTTGGGAGGCTGGCATGTGAATGAGGAACAGGCATGGGATGAATGGAAATCTAAATCCTTGTTTTTAAATCAATATTTCTTAATGGTATCATGGTTTTGGGATTGATTGAGAAGTGTAGCAAGTCCAAAAAAAATTGTTTCGTTGTGTATGGTACAATATTTGAAAAGCTTATTCGCAAAACAGCTTACATCCACTTTTTATAGAAATTGACTTTGGACCATCAGGAGGAAAGTAATTGACCATACATTCTTAGGAATGTAACTTTTTTCAAAATTAGCCAAAGCGGATGTACCGGTAAGCCATTTTGCAAATAAGCTCTTCCTTTTAAAAAAAAAGTCACTAAACTCTCTCTTCCTTTTTCAAAACGTATTTTCACCATCAGTTACCAGGCTTTGCATTATGAAATATTTCCTGTATACAAGGAAAAGTTCTAATGGACGTGCTTACAAAGAAATACCAATTCTCTTTTGCATTTTTAAGAAAAAGGGGTAGAAATTATAGGCCTCTATCTCCGTTTCACACAAAATAACTCTATAATATTTAGAGCAGCCAAGTCATAACAGCAACATTTTTTTGCCAAACGTAATTATTATAAAAAAAAAATTAAAGTCATGAATAAATGCTTGTTAAATAACCTAGAAATTACAAAGTAGCTTTTTCCCATGGACATTTTTTATGTAGTTCCAAGAGAAGTCCTTTTCTTCTGTTCTCTGAATGGATGATTTAGCCATGCACAAAAAAAGTGCATCCCGAACGTTATCCATGTAATGCACTTTCGGCCATTATTGCACATTTGGCAATTTAACAAGGTGTCTTCCCTGAGCCAAGTCTATGTCGCCCGGGGAATATTGATTGGTAAAAGAACCCAGAGGAGTTTCTCTCTCCTTTTTGTATTTTTTTTATTAATTTGAACCGAAAAGTGAAATGACAGTGTTGAATCATCTTACCGTGGACAAGGAATTAGGTGAACAGATATTGGGTAGAGTTGTGCATTGATGCCCAACATTGTTAGTCATCTGGCACCTTTCGTTGTCCGTCTGCTGCATTCATTTTATGAGCGCTATCACTCACTGTCACTAATGTTATTGCAAAGCCAGTCAGAAATACCATAGACTGTGATGATCACGCGCACTTCCCAAAATGATTAAAAATACTCACAGCTCTCCAATATGTTTCAGACACACATCAAATTAAAGCTTATTTTATCATCTTTCATTTTCGGTTCAATTTTTAGGAGATTAACCAGAGACTTAACCAGATGATCACCCCCTAAAGTAGTCCTAAAGCCCATCGCCGTTTTAAGAAAAGACGCCTACGCTCCATTGCAAAATAGAGCCTATTTAGGGCCTAATTTCATCCACATTTCACAGAAATATGAGCTTGCAGTCCTCTGCACGGCTACCCTAATCTCTAGTTCACGGCCCACAAAATGCTCTAATACCGGAGAATTTGAGTATATGCAAATCGTGATTTGGCCAGCGGAGGCAATTTCAGGCTAATTTACAGGTCTGCACCCACATGGGTTTTTATTTTCTATTAAAAGCTACATTGCAGTTGTTTCCCTGAAACTATTACATTCATGGTCTTGGTCACACTAGTGTGGTCACTGCCATTTTCCAATTTATTCCCTTTTCTTTCATTCACACAATTCAGACATCAGATTCTTGATCTTTCATTCCTTAAACCATCCTGAGATTAGTCTTTTATTGTCATTTTTGAATCTATATTTCATATTTTAAATCTTCAATGTGTGTTGTTTCAATCATATCTGCACATCACTGAAGGTAAAGGTTAATACCAGAAAGAAAATGTTCAGCCGTTCTGAAAACTCACCAGACACTTAACTTAACCAGCAACCATTTTGACATATTCCCATTGATCAATTTGTTTACTCTCATAGAATTTTGAACTTCTTTTACCACTCTTTTGTATTACTTTCTTTTTATTTTGTTCATAAACCGTTGGGTGGACCACGAAGTGACGTATTGTCTATGGACTTTTGTGGATACGATACGTCACTTCATGGTGCGACCGACGATATGTGTTTTGTAAAAGGGGAAAGTGTTATGGGTACCTGTATATTTGTAGTCAGCAGATTTTCATCTCTCAAAACCATGCCATGATTGTAAAAACTCAGTTTTCACGAGTGACGTGAAACAAAGCTTTTCGCAAATATGTTTTATAGAACAGTGCTTCTCTGGACTCAAGTTTTGCAACATTGTGTAATGTTTTCGAAACGAGTCAAGCAAAGTTGGTTGTTTTTTGGGGGGTTTATTTCTCAATCTCTTAGCAGTGTAAGAAACTATTAATAGGCCATCAGCCTGGGGGTTTGGTCGGTATCAAATGAGGGGAATAATGCTCATTGTGATTTTTGACAAGGTATGCACCCCTGTACATGTAGTTGGAAAATATGTGATAGCATTGCAGCGGTGGCAGCTTTTTCGGTGCTATCACTTAAAAAATAAATTGCGGCCAAAACATGCGTGTAACCACATATAATTAATCTGGTAACAAGCATATTGGCGGCCATTTTGAAAAAAAATAATAAAAGTGATAACACCCACAAAACTGCCACCGCTCACACTGCAATGCTATCACAGATTTGAGCTATGAGCATTGCTCCTTTCGATCATTTGATACCGGTGGCCCAATTTTTGTACTGAAGCTGATAGCTTAAAAGACAATATTCCTTTTTGTAGATAAGAAAGTTCAATTCTCTTGAGCCTTCAATTTTCTAACTCGATCTTTTGTATAGGAGGAATGAATTCCCAAACACCACTGCTTGTGAAAACTCACACCACATTGTTCAGAGTCCAATAATTATCCAAAATGACATTTCATCTTTTGAAAACAAGGTTTCAAAGATGAAATTAAATCGAAGCCAATTAGGTGATACGCAGTGATTGGATAATGCATTTGACAAGCTTCAATCACCTTTAATGACATTTGCAAATGGGATGAAAATCTGCCTTTAAGCAATAGGTAATTGGATGGTATTTAACCGGTACCCACCAGGGAATGGTTTGGCAGTTCTTGTTATGACTGGGGATAATGGAGATTGTTTTTTTAATTTGGATGTTTTTAACCATGTTCTTTTTTATTATCCTTTGACTCGCTAGTCGTTGGCTGCTATAAAGCGGCAGTCTGGCCCCTCCACCTTGGTCACTAGACAGTCTCTGAATGATGAGGAATTGGTAAGTTAATGCCAGCGCAGTCAGGGTCCAAGACTTAGTGAAAGAAATTTGAAAATTCTCAATGCTAGTTGATATTTGTAAACTTTTTTTGTCAAAGCATATGACTTTTTTGTAATATTCATTTGAGTGTTGTTTCATAACTTCATTTACATTGTGACGACTCCAGATTATTGTGACTTTTCATCAAGTCCAGTTTTTGTTCATCTCAGCCCAAGTTGACTTTTCCTGATTTAAGTTTTTATTGCAGATATTTCCTCATTCAGTTAGGTTTACTGGTTGAAAAAAAAAAAAAATTTCAGAAGTATTTTGCATTTTTTTTCAATCGATAAAAGATTATCCTTTTTTTTTCTGTAGCAAAATCTATATTTTCTCTTCCTGGCTCAGGAATATTTGGTCATGAGTTTTATTTAACCGGCCATTTTTATAAACAAATTTAGGAGCATTTTTTTTTTTGGTAGACGTCCAGAAATGTACCGCTTTTGATTTGGTCCGACCTTTCAGAAAAGTCATGTCTACAAGAAGTCCCTACAGGCCCTCATCTACCCGATCTCCAGCACCACACCCCACAACTTCGAGGTGTGGACGGCCTCCACGCCCACCTACTGCTATGAGTGCGAGGGCTTATTGTGGGGCATTGCCCGGCAAGGGGTACGCTGCGCCGAGTGCGGGGTCAAATGCCACGAGAAGTGCAAGGACCTGCTCAACGCCGACTGCCTGCAGCGTAAGTACCCACGACTTCAAACAATCATTCGCAGGTTTGATATTTTGTCACAGATAAGTCAAGAGAAATTCTGGGTTTTTGTAGATTGTGGTTTTGTGACCAGTTGAGTTTATTGTCTAAATAGATATCTGTATTTAACATATCTGCTCCTGATCCTCATTGTTGGAATGACTGGGCCCACTATATTTTGGATCTTCAAATAGGCCACCAATTTCGGGCGTTTCACAATGCAACGCGCCACCAAGTGTTTGCCACGGAGAGTTCATTTTTCCCAGTGCATTGTGGGAGATGGTTGACAAATTCGCAGCGCGGAACATTTGAAATTGTTAGTTTGTCCAGTCAGTAGTTTCATATTAAAGCGTATGATTCTAGTATCTGTTTGCCCTTTTTTTTTCTTTTACAATATGGTATTTTTTTGTAAGGTGACAGAATGCCATGCCCCAATCAATAAAAATTAGTTCAAGATGTCTACTGACACTCATTCAAAGTGGCCGTGTTTTGTCGACCATAAACTTGAAAAATGGACTCTCTATGGTAAACTCTTGGTGGCGCACTGCATCTTGAATCGCCCAAATTGAATCCGACCAGTTGCTTTATTATACATTTTAAAGTTGATCAAAGAAATTGAATGGAGTGGAGTTTGAACCTGCGACCTGCAGAATACCGTTCTGGTGCTCTACCAACTGAGCTATCCAGCCCTATGTTGGCAGTTCCTCAATTTGTCCGTGTCTTTGTTCAAGGGGTGCGCTAGTCAGAAGCCATACATGTATATGCCATGTAGCCAGGGACCACACACCCAGGTTAGAATGCCAGCAACTTTAACAAGTTTTGTCCAGGTTTGGTTTGCAGCTTTGGTAATGTTGCTAGCATAGTGACTTAGGATGTGATACCTAGTTACATGGCATGTAGGGGTTTGTGGCTTTCGACTAGCGCCCCTTAAACAAAGACATTGGCAAAACGGGGAACCGCCAACATGTAGCTTGATAGCTCAGTTGGTAGCGCACCGGAATGGCAATCAGGAGGTCGCAGGTTCAAAACACGCTTCAGTCAATTTCTTTGTTCAACTTCAAATTAGTACTGTATTTTGCAAGGTTGGAATATTGAGACCTTATCCAAAGAGATAAGGCAAAAAAAAAAAGTCTCCGGTTTCTGGTATGGAGCTTGCCCAAAAAGTGGTGCGGCGACGCGGCTTTTAATTTTTGTTTTACCTGATTTTTTTGCTTCAAATGTCGGCTGATGACTGCAAATGGTGCCCGACTAAACTTAGTGCAAATATATGGGAGTCCAGAGAGGCCACATAAAGCTTATTCTCGACCATAACCCAATCTAAAAACACGTTAAAATTGTGCAGCAGCATGATTCCAGTCAAACCAGTGAGTTTGGCGGTTTTGAGACATCATCTTTCATTGAAAAAAAAACGTTTTCATTTTGCCGACGCACATGGCTACGGCGACGCGCGCGCATACCAGAAACCGGAGACTTTTTTGGGGGGGCCTAAGGACAGAGTCGTCCATGAAGGCTGCACATGAATAAGGAGTAGTGATAGAGTAATGAGCATTTCTATTAAAACAAGGAAAGAATTGTCTTGTCAAATGGTGGCCGACGTAACAAACAAAGCTCTTGAGCACGAACTACACTTGTGACATGAACCCAACACTTTGTCCTTGTGTGCACGGGAAGCGGTCTCGAAATGAGTTATGTTTTTGGACTTTTTACACTGTACAATGTATACGTATTGTTGAAAGCTAGATCCTCCCACTTTGTACATTTTGAAATAACTGTGACCAGTTAAAATAATTAGCCATTGTAGAATATGAGTGGATTACCCTATTGGTAAAACAGAGCGGTCTTCATTAGCCCCAATTTTAAGTCAGTGTAGCCCATACAGATTCAGAAAACTTCAGAGGAAATCAAACGCAGATTGATTGATTTTATAGTGAGCCACATGTACCGGTACTACGTGTCAAAAAAGACGTACTTTTGATCCTAAATAACTCTGTTGGTTACAAGTGGAATTGAACCAAAATCTCAGATCATGTAAACAAGGCATGACAGATTTTATGGAGCGAGTTTCATCAGCTTTGTGCAAGAGGGTCAGATTTAAATGCCATACGAAAAAAATACTCACTTTCAGAATCTGCCACTTTCGGCTTCGCATTCTCCAATGTCGATACAGCACTGGAAACGGTGGCAAAAGGCGCGTACAGCGGCCAAAAGCTTCTGAAGGAATGCAGGATCACCCCTGATGTTATTGCACACCTCCTTGATCATTTGGAGCAACACACGATCGAGGAGGTTTGCAATGACATCAGGGGTGATCTGCAATCCTTCAGAACCTTTCGGCCGCAGCACAACCCTTCCGCCACCGTCTCCAGCACTGTATCGACATTCTAAAAGTGACTATTTCCTTCATATGGCGTTTAAATCTCACCCTTGTGCACAAAGCTGATGAAACTCACTCCATGAAATTTGTCATGCCTTGATTACTTGATCTGAAATTTTTGGTTAATTCCATTGGTAAACAACAGAGTTATTTAGGATCAAAAGTAGGACATGTTTTGGGTTTTTTTTGGACACTTAGTTGTCATTTAGGAGAATATGGCCGCATCTGAATCTCTAGTTTAGAGCTATTGTCTATACAGTGGGAACAAGCTAAGCCTCAGCCCTGGAAGCTCGTTTCGGACATGGCCAAATAATGACTGATGTATGATATATACTAAACATACAGCACATCATCCACCATCTCATAAAGCACCCGGAATGCTGGTTTTTAACAAAAATGTATTTCTTACAGGTAGTTGGTTTTGGATGAAGGTAACACAGAGGAATGAGCAACCACTGAGATGGGTTGGGGTATGCTAGTGGTATTAGATTAACTGGATGCTTAGTGAATGATAGCTACATTTGGTTGTTGTTTTTCTTCCCCTTTTTGCAGTCTTCATGACTAAGAACAGCAGTAAGTTATGAACTCATTATTCCTTCTCTGCAACAAAAACAAGAAAAAAACCTTCACAGCAGGTGCAGCTCCCTCTTCGGAAACTTTGAAAGAAAAAAAAAACAGGCAAAGTACATGTAATACTTGCCTGCTTCTCTCAGATTTTCGACAATAGAGGGCGCTCCAGCTGCTAGAAAGGGTCACATGATCTTCACATTTTCTGCCTTTTTCACTGCCTGCCTCTGCAAGAGTTATGATTTGATTTGATTTCTCATTCTGTGCGGACGCATTTCACGAAAAGATGTGCTTGCGATACTGTGCGTCTTGATTTAATTGGTGTGATGATTTCAGATGTCCATTCAAAGATGTTGCTCTTTTATGTCCATTTTGATGAATATTGTCTCTGTCTGTCTGTTTGTCATACTGCTTGGTTTTTTTGTTGGGTTTTTTTTTTTTACATATGCTCTGTGTGTGAGTCACTGAAGGTGCCTTTCCAAAGTTAAACAGTGGTATGGACGCGGTGCAAAAATAGCAGGTGAAAATTTGTGGTGTAGCGTCAGACACCTTCATTTGCACATGTATGAAATGTTCAAGTTTGGTCGATTGATTTTGATCAGAATTTACACAAACCTGCATGGAGAGTCTTCTCATGATGCCAGACGTACCTATACAATGGCAATATTTTCAAGAGTGTCTCCTACCTTGCTCTTTGTAATTATTGAGCGGGTATTTGTGCAGTGTGTCCAGCTACCGATGTGAACAATGTGACTGAGCAATATTGAGTGATGATGAATTATGCATGGTGAACCTCAAAATCTCAGTAAATCTCTGTTTGGAACTAAATATATGAAATTCCACACTAGTGTGTACAATTTGACACACACCAATGATTGAACACTATGAGATTTCAAACCTTTTTACCCTAAAACAGACATTTTAGTGCTAGGGCCATTCAGAATAGTCAATTTTTAAAAATTTCAATCATATTTTGAGATTTTTTTACCCACCCACCCACCCCAAATTTCAATTTTTAAATATTGAATGACTATTTAATATATCCTATACACTGAAGAACAAAGTGATGCTTCAAATGAAGCAGATATTTTAGGTCAATGCTCTCCCAGCTCAGGAGTTTTCAATGGCGTTTCTAGGCTTCCAGCATGCAACTTTGTAGTTGAAACAGAAGAGGAAATTGCCAAGCACACAGAACTTTGTACAATGTTTTTCAGTTTAACATTGATTATTCTGAATAGCCCCTTAACCAATTCATGCCGGGATTATTTTGACAAGAACGGAACGAGGCGCAGGATTACTTTTCACTCATGCCAGGTGGGTTAAAGCCATCACCCTCGGGCATCACACTCATATTTCTGGCCTCGCTCGCTGCGAGCGGGTTACTGACATATATTTCCGGCCTCGCTCCCTGCGTGTTCCATTTCGAATACAGCAAAACCTTTGCGCGGATACACGTCATCCGGCGCGAACTGGTTAACAAGTCTCAGTCAACACAGCAACTTAAATCAGCCTTATATGGCTGATTCAAATAGACATTCATGTTGATGTTCAATAAAAGGAAATTTGCGATGAGAAAAATAATATTTTCAGGCGCCATTAAAAGAACATTCTGCATGGAGCAAATGTAAATGTCTTTGTAGCTTTCCTTTTTCTTTTTTATGTCCAGCTGTATATGTGAACACATTTGTTTTGTCTGTTAATTTGTTTTCCTCTTTTTTTATTTAACTATTTAGTTTTTTAACTGGAAGTAGGGGAGTGTTGGTGTTAAAAATAGCAACACTTTCAAAAATTTCAAAAATTGCAATGCAGGCCTATTAGATGCAGCAGTCAACCAAGTTTCTGGAATCAGTGCGCATGTGTTTTAAAATGATTGTGTGATGTCTTTTGCTCAATTGTCATATTTGAAACGCCAGCTAAAAATGCCATTTTTTTTCATGTATATCTTCGTCCTGTCTGTGAGTTTTTCCCCGTTCACGCTTCAACTGTTATCACATTTTACATGTATTTGTCCACAGTTGTCAGTCTTTGTTTATTTCTCACAACTTTTTTTCTTGGTCATTCATACTTTTGCCTAGCTTTTTCATTTTATGAGAGAAAGTTTTTATTTTTGAGCTGTCGACGAAGTGAAGCTTGGTCTGCACATTTACATGTATGAACCATTTCTGTATCTTATGTGATGGCACATTTGTACTTGTCCTTGCATGTGATTTCACTCATTCGTGTCTTGTGTGATTTCATTCAAAACAAATTTGAAAAAAAAAGCTGCATTAGTGTTAGACATTTAGGCTCTTTTTTTTTAGCGAGTCAAAAGTAACCTCATTGATCATCATTTCCTATAAGCATATTCTAGAATCTTTCAAACTATTTGTTAGACGTTCATTCCTGTTTTTTCTGCAACAAGTTCATCTGTTTTTACATATCTGCCATTCAATCGTAGTTTAACAAAATGCTGTTTTTGGTGAGAAGTGCGTTTTGAGCATTTGCTCATAAAAAACCTTTTACGCTGGCTTTTCCTTGCATCTTGAGTAAAATTTCAAAGGCTTCAAAATCGCTTCTCCGATTTATGAAAAGAAAACATTCTTGACAGAAGGTGATATGCTGTGTCTGACAGCAGCAAATTGCACTTGTCAACTGCTGTGAGTTTGAGAAATGATCCCCTGTAATATTGAAACTTCATCAAAGACGTCTCTAGGGATATTTTGACAATATAAACCTCAGGTTTGCAGCATTGCTAAGGTTGATGGCATCGTGAATTTGGGAGTGATCCTGGGGCTACAGAGCATAGACATTTTCATGGCTTCTGACCAGCGTTTTTGAACAAAGATATTGATGAATTGGGAAAACTGCCAACACGGGACTGGATAGCTCAGTTGGTAGGGCACCAGAACGGCAATCCAGAGGTTGCAGGTTCAAACCCTGCTCCAGTCAATGTCTTCGTTCAACTTTACATAATTATGAGAAAAGGAAATAGTAACATCTGCTTGCAAGTTTTCATGTATAAGTTAGGGATCCAAGGGGATAGCACAAGTATAACACAAAGTGATCTCGATAGAAATTATATCAGGAGAGACAATTTCAAAGTTCCATATCTTTGTTCACTGTAATAGTACTTGTTGATGAGTAAAAGACCAGGAACAAGTGTAAGAGCACAAGTGTGGAAAAAAAAATTGAGGTGTCAAACAGGCATGAGATTTTTAGACTTTGGTCTGAATTCAGAGTTTTTGAATCTGAGAGAAAGACATCATCTGTATAGAAAGGAAGACATTTTCAGGCCTATCATTCAATTTTCAGACTTTTTTTAGATTGACGATCTCATCCCTGGTCAGAACAATGGGAAAAACATTTAGAAAGATCAAAGGGACACCATCTGATATCTAGTTTGTTGGATTGGTGATACTGTCATATTTCAGTACAAGATGCATGCAGTTATACACAGAAGAAGTGTAAAATTACTCATCCCAATATGTCAGATTTAATATTTTTCTGAGACAAATACTCTCCTGAAACAAAGCATTGTTTGTCTGTAATTTGTTGGAACAAGTTGGTTTGAGAGGTGATTCAATTTGTCTTTTATGTTCTTTCAAAGCATAGCTTCTTCTTCTTTTTTTCTTCTTTTTTTTTGGTACGTGGGAAGGGCAAATGGTCTGATGTGTGGTAGTTCATCTTTTTCATTGTTGTTTTAATTCTCGTTTTTTTGTTGTTTGATGGCTTTCTCAGTCACATAATGGCTGGAAAAAAGCCCCTTTTTCCAAGTTTACTGTTACACTTTTTTTTTCATCCAAATCATCAAGTCACTGTCTTTGTAAAGAAATGTTTGGTTTAGATGGTTTTGAAAAGAAAACTTAAACCGCTTTCAACTTCAACCCTTACTTGTAAAACCGAAGGAGAGGCGACAGGTTTAGTGCACAATTTTATGATACGCTTACGTGCCATACCCCACATGCTGTTTGGTTGGAATCTGTGCAATTCCGCCAACACAGACAGCGACTCGGAGCCCAGCCAGATACGGGAGGAAGACATCTTTGAGGAGGAGGAGTTTGTGGAAATCAAAACCTCGTCGCTGGAGCGCATTGTACCTGACCAGCCGCAGGATGGTAAAAAAAAATGGCTGGGGATGTTTTTTTTTTTGTGGTTGCCTTGGCAATCCATTATTTGTTTTCGTTGGAGAAGTGGAAGGTTGCAATTTCATCACCAGTTGCCTGAGTTTCTGGGATCATCGTCTCACCATCGGCAGCACATTGGTGGAGGATGTTGGCTTTTTGGGTATTCGTTTGGTTCTTGAAATCTCTGTGTAGAGGTGTAGCCAGAAAATGCATGGTATAGTTTTGCAGTTTACAGAAATAAGATACCATATGAGGCATCATGGATCAGTAAATAAACGTCCCTAATTGCAACCTACGTAAATTGAAGTGCAACTTCAGTTATGAAACTATGATTTAAAAATAGGAAAGATGTATGTTGTACAGTGAACTGAATGCAATCGTATGTTTCACTAAAACCATGGGTCCTTTTATATGAAGAAGTCATTTCCAGCTCGAGTTTGGAAAAGAATTTTGCAATTTCTGGACAGATCACTGGAAAACTGAAAAAAAGATGTATGTGTTCCTTTAATGCTTTTTTTGGGTAAGTTCAACACTTTTAAAACTTGTTAAAAAAAAAGAAAGAAATCCCCAAATTTCGATGTTTCATTTTCATTTTATAGTTCCCAGACATTTACCACATGTCTTTTCTCATCACACTAAAAGCATGTCTCCAAAATGTCCCCATTAATTCAATTAGATCTTTGTTCCAAAAAGACAACTGAAATCAGATTGACAAAAAAAAGGGAAACACCGGCCAGTCATAACTTTCTGGCTTCACCACTGTACAGAAATAGATAGGGAGAGCATGTTTTCACTATTTTGGGAATAGAGGTCACTTCTGTCTTTCATTTTTCCAACTATTTCAACCTTTTTCTTTGGTTTTATTACAGTATTTTTTTCACCATCAAATGATTATAACAGTGACAAAAAACTTGACCCCATTTTTGAATTCTAGTTGCAGTGCCCTAAGACAGTCCATCACTATGGCTATTATCAGGGCTGATACCGCAGAGTATCAGAGCTAGAAGTTAGGGCTGTGCATCGGAACCGGGTACCCAAGTACCTGACAGCTGCTGTCAGGAACCGCTTCCTGATTATGGGATTTGGCACCTGTAACCAACTTTACAAATTACTGAGTAACCTCACAGACAATGTACAAGAAAGGTTTTGAATGTCATTTGTGGGAATTTCCAAAATGAAAACCAGGCTACGGTACATAAAAGACCAAAACAGATGTGATGTTTATGTGCATTTTAATGTACGACAGATGACGCTGCGACAGATGACACTGCGTCAGATGACGCTGCGACAGATGACGCTGCGACAGATGACGCTGCGACAGATGACGCTGCGACAGATGACGCTGCGACAGATGACGCTGCGTCAGATGACGCTGCGTCAGATGTTGCTTGCAAAAATTGCAGTTTACACCAAAAACCCATAAAGCCCCATTTGAATTTTGGGGTCTGGGTTTCATTTATGGGTACCTATTGGTACCTGTGTTGTACTTTTTTCAATAGGGTACCCGGTTCCTTACACGTAAATTCACACCGCTACTAGAAATGTGTCCAAAGTGCCGCTGCTGAAAGCCAAGAAATAGGATCACATGGCCTTGACCATCTCTTCTCTGAAAACATTATCAGAAATCAGTGGTTGTAGTGGTAGGGCTACCAACTAATCAACACTTGAATTTTTAGCCCCAAGATGTCAATATTATATTTCAGAATTCAGTTATTAATTCCATCTCAAAACAGACAGCATTGTCATTCAAATTCTGGGCCTGACGTCATAATTGAAATGCTGTGCATGCTGGATGTATCATATTTCTGTGCCTAAGTGAGGCCTTTGTAGTTAAAAAAGAAAAGTCAATATAGTCATAGTGTCACTGCATCTTAGCCGCAAATCAGTGGAGATTTGTTATCCAGAACACTTCTTCTTCAGAAATTCAAGAAGTGGCATAAAATGAGCATTTTGTCCTGTTGCATATGACACCACTTCACAAAAGGGAAACTTGCTATTACTAATGATGGAGGCTTCACAGATGGATAAGTTGAGAGTCAATCCACGGCTAATAGTGATATAGATATACTTTAGGGTTTTTCCTAGAATGTAGAATGGGGGAAAAAAGATTAACAGATTGTGAAAGCACAACAAGCAGTATCAATGCACATAATGGAATCTGTGCACTTATAAATAGACAAAAAAAGGGGAATCCCCAATTTAAAATAGTTCCAAGATATTTCTGGTTTAAACACGGACACAATCGTTAAATAAGCTACTTTATTTTATTTGAGGACTTAATCTACAAGATTGATCTCTTTATCATATCTGTGGTGCCAGTGTCAACAGTATAAAGCCATGGTTGGTTGCTAGGCGCAATGCATGCTGGGTAAATGGTAGCTATCCGGATCTTCCATCAGTCATCTTATCTGTAGAACCAATAGGCATGTTCAGTCATGGTTGCCGGGGGGGGGGGGGGGGGGGGGGGAACTACATGAGGTCACATGTTAAATTGTAGAAGGAGTAAATACTGTACATTGTAAAAACACCAGAGGGGTATTAATATACACGGAAAATTACACATACATGTAATTAGTAACTGACTCGTACATTAACAGGATCTTGAAAAGTTATGATGTAATGCACATAGTCTAAGTGTCTGCATATTAAAAACAAAAACATTTAACAGATGCATCACAACTATAGTACACACGGTTGTCATAACCAGTTATAATCAGCATTGACTTTTCAGATGGGATATTCCTGTACATTCAGTAAGTAGTATAAAAATTATTGATTTTAGTGTCAGAAGTGTTTGTACTTTTTTGCCACAGTTAAAAAGAACAAACCAAATTGTGCAATTGACCTGAGCACAGTACCCACTGCTTAGCCAGGTAGACCAGATGGCAATATGACAGTATTGGTTGAGATGCTGGGGCCGCTTTCATGAAACTCGTCGTATCTTATGACTTCAGACGAGTCCCCGCTCTAAGATCGATCTTAGCTAAGACACGTCCTAAGACCGATTTCACTAAACTCATCTTAAGCAAGACACATCAAAACTACCAATTTGATGGCTCAGCCATCAAATTGGTGTTTCATGTTTCTTTTTACCGCTTGACGAAACAGTTGTTGAAAAGAAATGCGCAAAACGAACTTCCCATGCTAGTGCATAGATCAAGAACGTTAGTCAGAAAAATTACTCTACTCAATAAAGTTCACATCGCGCAGTACGTGTGCACCAATTCCATATAACTATAAATTTTTAGCACGACGCAGCGCTAGGCACAAACATATACCATATACATGGCCATTGGGGTGTCTCACAAAACATGAAGTAAATGGTTGAACAAAATTGTTGGAAATTTGTGAATTTTGACGTGTTTTTACTTTTTAACCGAAAGGTATTTTATGAGCACAAATTTATCCCCATATACAGTAACATTATGCTGTTCATTGCTGCACTCTGCACCATGTAAAAAAAAGTGCATTCGACTTGACATTTCGAGCCAAGGTGAAAATGTCAGTCGTATTCCATTACAAAAAAAAGTATCAAAACCATTCTCTGTAAAATTATTCACAGAAAGTGGAAAAATCAGGTTACAAGATCTATTGAGATAATTTCTCTGTCATCGGTAGCCTGATCAGTTCAAATGCACAGGCTGGCCAGGTTCAAGTCTGGAATTAAGCAGGAATGCACACTTTACAACTCAGTAAATGTGGGGAAAGCGTAGTGTTCAAAGAACAATTCAAACAGATGGAGAAGTCTTTTGTATCTTGACTGATCTATCTAATAACATTATTTCTTGCAAGTTTTATTGAGTTTGAAAAAAAATTAAGTGTTTCCAAGTTTGTATGCTTACAGTTATAGGGTCACTCAAACACAAGTTGTTTTAGCAAACTTTGGAGAGAAAAAACCCACACAAACCAACAAACAAATAAAAACAAGAAATTGTACTTTTATATATTGATACCCCTTTGGTGGTAAATTAATATTTTAATAACTTAAATACCGCTGTAGGTTTTTATTTACATGTTCAAATGTAATACTTGATTTATCTATTTTGTTTATATTTCTGTAAATGTTTGTCAGGACTTGCAGTGGCGCACCCAGGATTTGGTGGGGGGGGGGGGCCTAAACAAACAAATCAAAAAATGTTGCCCACAATTTTGGCTGCAGAAAAAAAATTGGGGTGTTTTTTTTCGGGGGTGGACAATTTTGACGTTGGTGGGGCCACTTACACCCCTATTATACTACTCGAAAATAGGCCACAAACATATCACCAAGGTTTAATCGTGGGACTAAAAAAAAAAAAAAAAATTACCCCCTCCCAAAAAAAATTAAAAATTGACAACCTCTTGGGTGGCCCCCCCCCCCCCTTTGGGCGCACCACTGAGCACTTGCATAATGTTTGTGATCACAATGCAATCAGAAATTTTCTTGTTAACATTTGTGACAGTTCTGCAAAAATAAATAATCGTTGATTGAACCGTTGATACATGTAAGCAACTTTAGTGAGAAGTGTGCCAGAGTTCAAATGTCACCTAATTAGCATATGCAAATCCAAAAACATCGCATTCAGGCATGAGTGCAGTTACAAGTTGGTAGATAAATTTTGTACCGATTCAAAAATATTTTTTGAATGATGCTTTAGTAAAAGGGTCCAAGTTTAAGATTTGTTTCAGTGATGACATTGTAGGTCAAAGGTTAAAGGGCAAAGGTCGCCAGCTGACAAGTTGACATTATATACATTATCTGAAGATGCTCTAAGACTAGACATCACTGCAGCATTTGATAAAAGACACATGTATCAGAGTCTTTGAAATATAAGTAAAGTTATAGATAAAGCTTAAGTATCTCAGCAGATATCTGTGGCAAGGTTTACAAAATTTTGCAGAGATTTTGGCTCCCTTTTGGCTTTGTACTTAGTCCTAATTGCTGTTGGAAATTGTGCAGACTTGCCACATTGTGTCAAGTTGATATATATGTACGACTTGACATGGTCAAGCCTAAGCCCATACCAGTAGATAGGGGGCGCTCTTCCATTCTCCGTGGTGTACGTAAGTTCAAGATCCTACTATTTTTAGGTTAGAAAGTTTTGCAGAACACTGAACTGTTAATATCAGGGTATTTGTACCTAATGTTTCTTCAGTTCAATTACTGTTTTGTACTGTAGTTCTGTATTTCAATTAATTATGTAATATGTATGCTCCTCGCTTTTACCTAGTTTGTAGATGTGGTGTTCATCAAATATCAGATGATTTTTTTCATGTCCTTTTAGAAATGACAAAAGCTATTATCAAGCATATAGCTTTCATTTATTAATCACTTTGTGTCTTCTCATTTCAAAATTGGGTACAGTAAAGAATTACGTTCATTATTTCATATGAAACTGGTTTATTATATGGCTTGGAAGCATCTCGGAATTTGGATCAATCTTATTCCAATAAAAAGCTGTCCTTCAGGGAACATGCTGCACATTGGTATAAACAATTAGCTGTGTTCTTTGCATGTTGTCACACAGAGCGAGCTATTGAGTTACCGTATGTGCATAAGGCCGACGTTCCCTGTTTTTGCAGCACCACACACGGTGATCTAGCTGAGACTTGGGCGTAGAACTAGTGTGTATATTCCCAATTGCAACTGGAAGCATATTTCCAGCAGAACGTTCCAAGCGATCCAAGTTTTGAGATGTACCCATCCTGTGTTTTGTACCGAATGATGTCGACATCACTCTTTGTCGCAGTACATAATGAAGCATTATTTGTTCATGCATGCCTGTGCAACCATTGTTTCAAATATTTTCACCGTATGTTTTCAGTCACATTGCATTTTCCAACTTTGAAAGATATTTCTTTTACTTTTTCACCAAATGGATGTGTTTTTCAACTAGAATGATTTTTTTTTTACCATTTTGTGCCATCTGGTATATAACCACAGGTGGCCACATTTGACAGGTGTTAAATTTTGTCATTACCAACAGAAAATTGGAACATGAGCCTCTTCATTATGCAGTGTCTAATTTCATGCCTATCTGTTCAATTTACCATGGAAAGCCATATCATTGCCATTAGGCATTAAACAAAAAGCCAACTCCCTAAAAATCGTACCAAGCAAACTGGGAATGTGTAAGCTTTAGAAACACAACAAAATTCCATGTAAACAGCAAAAAGGATTCAGAACTCACCAATTTTTGTTGGTGCAATTCTAAGCAAACGTTTTAGGTTGGCAAACAGAGGTTTGAAGTTAGGCTGCGAGAATTGGCATTTTATCAGCATGGTGCATTTTGAAATAAAACGAATCCATTGAATGAATGGGCTATGGGTTAAAAACCACGGGAATGACCGTTCATCTTATATTAAGGAGGAACCTTTTTGGTGTTCATGGTTTTGCCTCATGACCACTAAGAATTGTTCATTTATACTCGTCATCTGTGCATCAAACCAAAGAAAGCCTGCTGCACAGTTCCACGCATGCATATCTCTGCCATATTGCCCGTTACTTTTCAACCGTTCAGGGATTATTGTCATACAGGTGCTAATTTTGTAAGTTCTTGGCCAATTCTAGGAGCCAGCGACACAGCAGATGTAACACATCCATTGTATTTGCTGTTGTTTTTGTTTCCATTTCCATTTTATGCTATGAGAAAATGTAGTAATGACCCACTGGAAAGTTTGTGAGCTAGCTGTGAGTTAAACAGATGGACTTGCAATATGGCAGTTGAGGCAAATCACCATCATCATAATCATTCTCATCATCATCATCATTTTTTATTTTTGGATTCAAGAGAAATTTGCCGAGACAGCCAGCTAATCCACTTTTCCCCTTCATTTGTGCATTTCAGGAGCAGCCGAGAAGAGCTCCAAGCATGGCGCGGAGGACAAGACGCAAAACATCATCATGGCCATGAGAGACCGCATGAAGATACGCGAGCGCAACAAACCCGAGATCTTTGATCTCATTCAGTAAGTCAAATGCAGTCAATATGCAAACTGTTTTCTGAGCCTTTGTCAACCCTTATATTCCTAGATCCTTTCAAAGCCCTCCAGGAATGGTCGGGACATTTATGCAGGATGGTAGAAAGGTACAGCCCAGGAGCTATGGACTGAACACGGCCTTAAATAATGGCAAATGGTGACGTTAAGGCTGCAGTCCAAATTACTTGGCTGCGGCTGGAAATTACACACGTGTCTATGGTAGCGGCTGCAGCCACTTCTCATAGACTCGTGTGTAATTTCAAGCCATAGTCAGTGATTCGGACAAGGCCTCAGAGTCTGGAACCGGCCAGCACAGTGTTGGCGATATGACCTGTGACATAGAGGGTCAACTTAATTTAAACATCTTTGCATGTATGAATAGGGTGCTGCGTTCCGTGTGACACCTGAAGACACAAGCCAATCAGATTAAAAGGGAGGCAGTATAACAAAGATGAATAGCAGCCAATAAGATTCTTAGAATCACTGTGGGCATTGCTTGTCCTCATATACACGTGTCTTATGAGGTCAGGATTCCAGTCAAGGACCCTATGCACAACAGGGAGATATAACAGGCATATACATACAGGCCATTATTCCGGAGCACTCGGTCCCCACTCTAAACGCTACCAGTTCGAACACATCCTCTTGATAATTGGTTGTGCATACTTACATGTACTCGCATCATGCTCCTTCAGAAGGTTGTGGAAGGGTTTGAGTGGGTTTGATGTCCACACAGTGATACGTAACGTAACTCTCAAGGACAAGGCATTGTCTTTCCCTGTCCCTGTTATGTAACACTCTTCCATAGACTAAGCACACAAACTCACGATCAAGGACCATTTTCAACAACAGATGAACGCTCGAAGACAACAAAGAATCTGTAGTTCTCCCTTTATCTGTCTGTCCTCGGGGGTGTATGTAGTGCACGTACATGTACATACCTGTTTAACAAATTTGTTGGGTAAGCCCGCGCATGGCACATGTTACACACTGTTTCATGAATACTGGAATGTTCACTCCCAAAAATCTGTTAATCTCCCATTAAAGAATCCAATCCAATTTTTTGTGTGTTAATACACAGGGAGGTGTTCAACATTCCCAAGCAGCAGCATGCAGGCCACATGAAGGCGGTCAAGCAGAGCGTGCTGGACGGCACCTCCAAATGGTCAGCCAAGCTGGCCACCACGGTGGTCAGCGCCCAGGGCCTGATTGCCAAGGACAAGACGGGTACCAGCGACCCGTACGTCACGGTGCAGGTTGGCAAGGTCAAGAAGCGGACACGGACCGTCCAACAGAACTTGAACCCAGAATGGAACGAGAAGTTCTTCTTTGAGTGCCACAACTCCTCGGATCGGATCAAAGTCCGCGTTTGGTAAGCTGATCCTGTGCCAGTTGGATAAAGTACAGTTGCAGTCAACTCGCATGTCGTTTACAATTCATTTATTGACCAAGTTTGTGCACACACCATAGTTCAACTTAGTTTCGTGCTACTTGATCATTGTTAGACTGGTCTGGTTGACTGTTCAGGACTTACTTACCGAGGTTGGTTATGTCACTAGTTACCAAAAACTTTATTCATAATGTACAGCAGGCATCGAGAAGAAAAGAATGTTCATGAAGACATTTTTGGCCATCAAAAAATTACCATAGGAATCAGTGTTAATGTTGAATTTTTTTCTTGGTTTTCTTTTCCCCCAGGGATGAAGATGATGACCTGAAGTCCAAGCTGATGCAGAAGCTGACCAGGGAATCGGATGACTTCCTGGGACAGACAATCATCGAGGTGCGCACTCTCAGCGGTGAAATGGACGTCTGGTATAACCTGGGTAAGAGCATTCGCAAAGTAACCCCCATCCACCCCCAGTCCCAGAGTTGTAACGAGTCGCTGATTTTTGTGACTCGAGTCGAGTCGAGTCATTTTAAAGAATTGACTTGAGTCGAGTCGAGTCATTAGGTCAAGACGGTCGAGTCGAGTCACAGTGTGTAGTCGAGTCGAGTCCAGTCAAGTCAAGTATTTAGCTCGAGTCAATTCGAGTCAGAAATATTTGAGCACTGTACAATAAAGTCATTTTTTTGCTTTTTAAATTTTACATTCGGGCTACTGCATGTGGCGACACCACATTTGCCTCTTAATGAAAATAAAAAGGGGGTGCCAGCTGATCGTCATTCAACTAATGGGGACACTGATCAAACCACGTATGTATATGTATACATTATTCGCGAACATTCCGGCACCGGCTTAAGTCATTGCAAATATTTTTCGCAAAGTTTTGCTTTTATTTTTGGGACTCGAGTCTCACTAGCCTTCCTCGAGTCAAGTCGAGTCATTTGCCCTTAGGGACTCGAGTCGAGTCGAGTCACCAAAAATTGTGACTCGAGTCGGACTCGAGCCAAGTCATTGACTCGAGTCATTACAACTCTGCCCACTCCACCCCCCCTTACCCCACTCACCCCACCCCTGCACTCACCCCACCCCTCCCCTCAACCACCCCACCCCCCCTCACTCCACCTGTCTCACCCACCCTCCTCACCCCACCCCACTCAACCCACCCCCCTCACTCCACCTGCCTCACCCACCCTACTCACCCCACCCCACTCAACCCACCTCCCTCACCCCACCTCCCTCATCCCACCTCCCTCATCCCACCTCCCTCACCCCAACCCCTCACCCCTCCCCTCACCCACCCCCACCCTTTCCCACCCCTCACCCCACCCCATGACAAGTTTTATTTACATGTACAAATAATTCTGTTTACAGTGACACTGTCATCCTGCCCAGTTTATGTGGTATGTATTTATGTGATGTGTGTTTCAACCACTTTTCCTACAGAAAAGAGAACAGACAAATCTGCTGTTTCAGGGGCCATTCGGTTACACATCAGTGTGGAGATTAAAGGGGAGGAGAAATCTGTGGCCCCGTACCATGTACAATATACCTGTTTACATGAGGTTAGTGGCTACACATTTTGACTGAGTTACAACTTCCGATAATTTGGGTAACAAAAATCAATATCAAACTAGAGCTTCTGGTCGTTGCCATATTTTATTGGCCCAATGAGCAGCCCAGATGATAAGGCAGTGCTTTGAGCAGGAATACTGGAGGATATGTGTACTTTACATCCTGTAAAAAAGTTTTTAAAATTGTTTACTCAGACTGAGAGAAATAAGAAAAGTAGGCTTCCTATTCAATAGTTCAGATGTCCTTGTCTTGTTTTCATACTCAGAGAGGAGTGCTTGCAATGTCGTTGAAGAGCAATATCAAGATTTAACAACTCTCGGAAATTCCAATCATAACAATCTTTTACCCCCCCCCCCAACTCCTTATACAGAACCTGTTCCACTATTTGAGTGAACGTGAAGCAGGCCAGGTCAAGCTCCCAGCAGCCCGCGGAGACGACGCCTGGAAGGTGTACTTTGAAGAGACACCTCAGGAGATTGTGGATGAGTTTGCCATGAGATATGGCATTGAGTCCATCTATCAAGCAATGACGTGAGTAGCTCAGCTTTCACCGCCCCAATCCGCCCCGCCAAGTGCTTTAATCCTATCACTTGTACACCCACCGAAAGTCTTATAACGAATATGATTTTCAATTAATAATAATATTAATTATACTAACAACCACAAAAGGGCGACACTTCCATTGACTTGTGCACAAAATTTACCCTAGCCCTAACCCTAGCCCTAACCCCTAACACTAATCCCTATCCCTAGCCCTACCCTCGTCAAAGTGGGTTAAAATGACGGTTTTCATAATAGGGCAACAAATTATATGTTGTCCTAATAAGGTGTGTCTCCTTTTTAGAGTAAACTTAATAACAAACTGTCGCCCTATTAGACCTGTTTGTAATATAATATGAATTATTTATAAAACGTTTTCCATGTCACAAAGACATCACAAAGCGCTGTACAATTAAAAATCCACACGTTGTTAAGAAATACAGATAAAAATAGTCATAAAACAAACAAATAATTAAAAATTAACAATTAAGTGATACAAAAGTAATGCTTAAAAATAAAGAGGTTTTCAAGTAGGTTTTAAAAATTTCAAAGGCTTCGGCAGATCGGATTGCTGCTGGTAGCCTATTCCAGAGATGGGGGTTATATATTGTGAATGATCTTTTGATATTGTCAATTGTCTTTCGAAGCACGCAGGTTCCCCTTTTGAAATATGCCCCCAAATTAAGAAAATAATTGAGCAATGCACGTAGCCCATAAAAAAATTCACAAGCTTAGTCCGGTAGGACTCCGAAAAGTTTGGTGGTGGTACTTGGTGCTACATCAGACTTGAACCCCCCAGCCGACCTGGGAAGCTCGATGGTCGAATGGTAAGATGTCTGCACTAGTCACCAGGAGGTCGTGGGTTCGAGTCCCACCCGAGTAAGCTTGTGAACTTTTTCTTGCAAACTCTTGGGCAACACTGAGTATGTGTTTATGAAATCCGTCGGCGAAGAGCAAAAACCCAGTATAGAATGAAATCTTCTGAACATCAGTGCATCAGTAACGGAGAGTTTGTTTTCTTTTTCCAGGCATTTTTCGTGTCTTTCATCCAAGTACATGTGTTCGGGAGTGCCAGCCGTCATGAGTACACTCCTAGCCAACATAAATGCCTTCTATGCACACACCACGGCCTCCACTGCTGTATCCGCAAGTGACCGCTTTGCCGCTTCCAACTTTGGGGTTAGTATTATCGAATCAAAACTATTATTCAATTGTGCAAACGGTCAGTCATTGTATAACAGTTGAAGGTTATCACGGTGAAGTCAGCAATAGGACTAGGTATGAATGGTGAAATCTTTAGTCATGACGTGAGGAAAGCTGAAATCACATGGTCCCACAAAATAGAAGACATTTTCAAATAAACCACGAAGGGAAACTGACTAGGTGCATTATTATAATATAATCAGTTGAATGTAGAAATTGACTGGAGCAGGGTATGAACCTGCGACCACCAGATTGCTATTCTGGTGCTCCACAATCTGAGCTGTCCAGCTCAAGGTTTGCAGTTCCCCAATATTTCAATGTCTTTGCTCAAATTTAAAAGAAGAAAAAAAGAAAGAAAGAGATTTGTTGTCACGTGGTGCTACCACAAACCCACTCTTATTCACCCTCCTTATGCAAACAAACATTCTGTGCAAAGTTGTCCTATTGGTCAGGTGACTGTTTTTAACATTTAAGAGTTCCCAGCCTACATAAAGCAGGATTGACTGGCTGTGACTGTTTATGTAGCTATGCCTTGACTGCAGGTGATTGATGAGCCGAATGTGCCTTCCACTTGACTGCTTTTGTCTATTGACTGAATTTGACTAGTCACAGTGCTTGCTTGAAATATGATCTGACTGTTGGTGACTAGCTTGTGTAAAATGAGAGAGTTATTTCGTCCTTACAGAAAGACAAGTTTGTCAAGCTGCTGGACCAACTGCACAACTCACTGCGTATTGATCTGTCAGCGTATAGAGTGAGTCGACTATGTTACTATGCTTTGTTTTTCTTTTTTAGGTATTATGCTCATTTTGCAGAAATTCTCACGACATTTGTAGTATCCACACATTTACTTTGTTAATGGCCTTTCAGGAGCACCATACATTGTGAATGATCTGTACGATGAAGTTAGAAACGAGGTCATTAGATTTAGTAATGAACCAGGATCACAGTAAGGACAAATCATTGCATGCATAATCTCACTTAATTTTCAGACATCACAGATATCCAATGTTTCTTGTACAGATATTTGAATGAAGATCTTTGAATTACAATTCCTTCTGGTTTATTTGGTTAGGCTTATTTCGATGTTGAATACAAGGAGGCCATTTTATGGCAGACACCCATTGCATGGTGTCAGCCAATTAAGGTTGAGAGCTACAAAAAAATAATTGGAGGTGGACAAAGACATGAAAGATCATAGATCCCAAAGAACTGAGTATTTGTTGATGAAAAATTAGCTCATAAGACAAAAGAAAGCTTTCCCCATGAAGGGAATTCTTCAACGGAAGTGATGTTTTGGTTTTTGTTTTATGAAACTGATTGACTTAACGTTTCTCATTTACGTTTCACACAGAATAACTTTCCAGCCAACAGTCCGGAGAAACTAGCCGACTTGAAGTCCATGGTGGACCTTCTCACAAGCATCACGTTCTTCAGAATGAAGGTTTGTGATCTCCACTCAAAACCAAATTCTCGAGGTTGAGTTTTGTTCCTGGATCCTCCAAAATCCGTCTCTGTGCAGAAACCAAAGACTTAATATTTGACTTTGCTTTCAAGGGCCATCAAGCACTATGTAACCTGTACTTCCCTACAGTGTTTCTCAATCAACCCCACAAAATCCTCTAAAACCTAGTAGAGTTTAAAGGTTCTACGAGGATAAGGGCTAACATGCCTGAAGTGTTTTTGTTTTTCCAGTGCATAACATTTGTTATCTTTAGACTACTTCAGCCAACAAAATAGGAAGCGATTTTTGAGGTGGAACCACGTCCGCAGGCATATTGCACGCATTCTATAGACAAGGTGCGTGCATTTTGGTAATTCTATTGGTCTAAGGAGCCAGAAGTGCGTGCTTACTACCTGAGCGCGCCTTGTGCAAGCCTGGTTCCACCTCAGAAAATGGCTGTCGCCGAATTAATCTATACGCAGCTTGTAAGGTCAAGACACTAGATAGAGTCCAAAGACAGGCAGCAAGATTCTGCACAAAGAATTACAGTAGGGAAGAGGGAACAGTCACTGGCATCCTGGAGCACCTCAAGTGGGGAGACCTGATAGAGCGTAGGACGATATAAAGACTATCAGTGCTCTACAGAATCAAACACACGAGCTGGATGCCATCTCATGAGCAGAGCACCTTACCTTAAACACAAGAAACACCAGGGGGCACCAACAAAAATGCTACAAACGACATGCAACCAAGGAAGCCTACAAGAACTCGTTCTTTCTGAGAACCATTACAGAATGGAATAAGGTGCCAGCCAACGTCGTCAACTGTAGGACACTACTTTCATTCAAGGATAGTGCATCCAAGCACTTCTTTGACAACTGAGGCAATTTACTAAGGTCATCTCCACATCCACTCCATGCATGTCATAACGTCAAAAGTTGGTGTGATATTCTTGAGTGAATTTTACCGACTCAACCAGGACCGGAACCGAAAGATAACAGTAATAATAATAATAATAATTTGGGAGGCTAATCATCCTTACTCGCAGCTGGTATGCTGAATTGCGAAGGACGCGGCTACATTGTTTTGTCTTTTGTTTAATATTAGGTTCAGGAATTGGCCAGTCCACCCCGCGCGGCCACCGTCGTCAAGGACTGTGTCATTGCCTGCCTCCGGTCCACCTACGAGTACATCTATGAGAACTGCTTTGACCTGTACCAGCGGGAGTTCCAGCCAGACCCCTCGGACCGGCCCAGCGAAGCTGACGCCAATGGCCCCAGCGCCAAGAGCCTGGACTTCTGGACCAAGCTCATCTCCTTGATCGTGTCGGTCATTGAAGAGGATAAGACGACGTATACGTCGGTTCTCAACCAGTGAGTATAGGTCACCTTAAATGCCTAAGCAGTTTTGCAGGTAACATTTATGAATCCTTTGAAGGCCTTTTCTCATCGTTGTCTCACCTACCTATGTTGACATCAGCACAGGTCCACCGTAAGGGGAACTGGGTCTCGTCGAACTTGGGTAGGCAAAGTGTGCCGCTCACACTTGCAACGACCAGGGTTGGATTTTAAAAGGATATTTAAAATAAAATGCTGTTGCAAACCAAAAAAATGGTTGCTCATTCCCCCATGTTATTTTTGCCATTAAACCAGTCCTCACAATAATGTGTCCTTCTCTGGCTATCACAAGTAGTTCTGTAAAATGCCACATACGGTTCCTGCGCTGTAATTTCTGTCTGTTTGCATTTGTCCAGGTTTCCTAATGAGCTGAACGTCGGGCAGCTGAGTGCATCCACTATGTGGAGTCTCTTTGCCCATCAGGATCTGAAATTTGCCTTGGAAGGTGAGCTGTTTTAGCAGTAACCTACACACAAAGACTTACACAACAATATAATCATGTGCAGGTCACAGGGAGCCTAAGTGCTAATATGTGAGATACTGATTAACAGCAGACTTAAATTTAGTGAGAGGCTCTAAAGCTGACCACGTATTCAGGCAAACTGTACCACATTATTACTATCCTGGGTAAGTAATAAGTTTCAACATTGTTCAGTTGAAACACAGAATGTTCAAAGATCATAATGAACCTTAACATACCTCAGTTCATTAGGGTTTATGTTCTTTTGCATACAAATGTACAATTTGAAAATTCAAGGACAAATTTGGTTCATGCACCCTCGTTAAGAACATGCGCACACCATGCAAAAAAACGGATTGGAGTGCTTATTGACTTACTCATAACTTATTCTCATTAGAAAACTATTCAAATCTATATTTATACCAAATCTTTTGCGTTGTTTGTTTATTCACAAACTTAGAACATGAACAGCAGAGGTTATGCACCAGCGCCGAATACATGAACCTGCACTTCAAGGTCAAATGGATGTATAATAAATACATAGAGATAGTGCCACCATACAAGGACTCGGTACCAGACTATCCTGAGTAAGTATACACTCTGTTAGACCGAACTTTTCTAAGATGCACGCGCCATTCCTGCAGGAACAATTGTGATAGGATCTGCAGAAAAGTTTGTATACAGCATGCGTGTTCCATCTTTACTGTACATCAAGTTTGCTTGAAGATAAATTCATTATCCCACTCATGCTCGTGGAACACAGAAAATGTAGTGGGTCTGTGTCTCATAAGCCACTCGGCATTTCGGCATAATGGCACGTGGGACACAGACACACTACATTATTCTGTGTTCCACTCGCACTTTTGGGATGCCTAAATAGTACAGTGGAACGTTGCTATACCGAACATCGCTATACCGAACACTCGGCTATACTGAACATCGTGTTTGGCTCCCGATTTTGGTGTACAATATGTACCGACAATTCAACAGAAGGGCAACGAGTGCCTTTTATTTCCCCAAGGAATAGAAGGGGAAAGCCACCCAAAGCTGCTGTAGTAAGCTCAAAAACTGTGTAATTACATAATTCAATAGTCGGCACGTGTTCAAAGTCGTCTTTCAGTAACTACCAGGGCGTGCTGGGTGAAGTTCTGAAGGGCGCTATTTGTTGAAAAGTGAGAACCGGAGCACCATCAGCTTAAAATTGCTATACCGAAACAATTTCTGTGGATCCCGCGATGTTCATTATAGAGGCGTTCCACTGCATTCTCATGAGGTTTTGGCTTGATCTTTGCAGTTGGTTTGAGCCGTTCGTCATGCAGTGGCTGAGCGAGAATGAGGAGCTATCCATGGAGTTTCTCCACGGAGCCCTGGACCGGGACGAGAAGGAAGGCTTTCAGAAGAGCTCAGAGCATTCCCGCTTCTCCTGCTCGGTGGTGGACGTCTTCACCCAGCTCAACCAGCGGTTTAACATCATCAAGAAACTGGAGTGCCCTAACCCTGAGATTGTCAATCGCTACATGACACGCTTCTCTCAGGTGAGTGTACGGTGAACATTTTTTTAATACATTTTTTTGGGAAGGCTTTCGTCCTTACTTGCAGCAGAAGCTTAATTGCAAAGAATCTAGCTACAACATGGTTGAGCCGAAGGCATGTAAAGGCAAAATTAGAGGCGAGCGCTTTACGCACTGTACCTCAAAATTGCTGCCATGTACCCACATACTTACCTGTGCTCTTATAAAGAAACACCACAATGATGCTCTGGGTTTTTGCACATTCATATGGTATGTTGTCACTGGTGTTTTAAATAGTGTGGTTTTCTTTGTCTTTTTGGGGAAAATCTTTCAGACGGTGAACAAAGTTCTGCTTGCCTACGCGGATGTCGTCCATGAGAAGTTTGCCAAGTATTGCTGCGATGACAAGATCGTAAGTTGTCCACTTGTTCAAACACAGATTATGTAAATGTATCAGTCAATGTTTTGTGTGTTGGTTCTATTATGAATCAAATTTAGAGCCTCATATTTCAATTTCTGCAGTGCAAAATGCACTGACACAAATCAGATGTGAACTTTAGCCTAGCTCTTCATACCTGTGGTCCTCCTATTTGTCAATTTGTCATAAAACTTTATAGAGAGCAAGCCAATGCTACATCAGTAGCTGATCTTACTCTACAATAAACTTTGGCACTAGGTTCCACAAGTGACCTTGACTTTGACAGCCTTACTCTAAAATAACTTTTGCTCCTATCCCTTTGTCTGCTTTGATTTATAGGGAAGTAATGGGCAAATCAAACCAAAAAGGCCATGGATGAAATTCTTTTACATTGTGTGCCTCCTCCCCTATTACTCTACCAAACCCATATCACCCATCTCTAAGGCACTAGGAGGGCACTAGGGAGGCATTATTGCCCTCATGATCAGTCAATATGTGTACATATTCCCTCCTTGTCCTTGCAGTCCTTGCAGGCCTGCATCCTGATGAACAACATCCAGCAGCTGCGGGTGCAGCTGGAGAAGGTCTTTGAGTCCATGGGAGGGGAGAGTCTGGACCCGATTGCGGCGGACATCCTCAAGAAGCTGCAAGGCAGCCTGAACGAGGTGCTAGACCAACTCAGCCAGATATTCTCCAAGAGGTAGGACTAGCATGATAAAATCCTTCAAAATAATTCTTGTTAAAAATTGATGTATTATTTTTGCATTGTAAAAATAATCCAATGTACTACATCTTTCTGCTCCCATATCACTTTGGCAAATTTTCCCTTCTTGAAATTGAAAGCACTGGAAACATTAACCTTAACTTTCAAGGCATTTTTACAAGGACCCTTCCCGAATGCTGTTCAATTCACCACTGCACAGAAAACCTATTGCGCTTTCTAATTTTATTTTCAAGGAGCAATTAGCTCAATGTTATATACATGTAGTAACGAGTGGGCTGTTCTTGTGCCTTTCTGAAATCCTTCAAAATTCTGCAACCTGTCCTTTAATCAATGGAAACTTGTTTCTCATTTGGTGAGAATGTTGAGAGTCAGTTCTGAAGAAGGTGTCATTTTAGTGAACTCTAAAAACTTGTCTCTGCCTTGTGAACTTTAAAATTTGAGTACCTGTAGGTCTTTGAAAAGAATTCATTTTGTTTTCTTTAGAATATGTTGTCTTAATTGTTGCACGGAAAAGATAAATGAAAATTAAGTGATTTGAAACCGCAGAAAATTGCAAAAAAGAACTCACAATTTTCTCAGTCGGAATTTCAACAACTGTGGAATATCAGTCTGGTAAATTGCAGTAGTGCCAGAAATGTATTCTTTATTTATGTAATAAGTGTAAAGTTATAAATTTGTTTTCTCTTCATCTTTTGCACCTGGCTATTTCAAAATTAATGTGTTTTCTTTCATTTGTTTTATCACAAGCCTTGAACTACGATTACAAGAGAGCATTCAGCAGCTGAGCATGCTCCTTGGCGAGGTCAAGGGGGCGGGAAATGTCGCCCTCAGTCAGCCAAGCCAAAAGGCCAACGTCCAAGTGGAAGCTGATAACGTCCTCAGACCGCTCATGGATGTCCTCTTTAGCAAGTAAGTGTGAAGTCCCAATATTGGTTGACATGTTTTTGTGTCAAGTGTATCTTAGTAATATTATGGGAAAAAATTTCCCAGAACCTCAAGGCTAATGTCCAAGTTAAAGATTGTATTGTCCTCAGACAGCCATGGATGTCCTCGGTAGCAAGTAAATGTCAGGTCCCAGATTGGGTTGATATTGGGATTCATATTATGAGTGTTCCTCGTTAGATTTATGGAAAATGTTTCCTGGAACAACCCAAGTCACAAGGCAAATGTCTGGGCTGAATCCGATAACGTACGTCCTCAGACCACTCATGGATGTCCTCTATAAGTAAGGTCCTAACTTGGAATTACATTGGGATTTTTTTTGTCAAGTGTGCCCTGCTAAACTTAGAGGAAGATGTAAGGTGCAAGGCCAATGTCTTATCCAAAATTGGTAATGTCCTCGGACCACTCATGGATGTCCTCTTTGGCAAGTAACTTTTAAGTTTGCGATTTAGGTTAACATGGCAATTTTGTGTCGAGTATTAAAATTAGAGGGAAATGTTAAGTACAAGGCCAATGTCTAATTCAAAATCGATAATGTCCTCACTTTACTCATGGACGTCCTCTGTAGCAAGATGTGTCAAGTATCACTGGTTAGCTTGGCATTGCCTCATAAATACAAGGGGGAAAGTTGGGACCAAGTCCAATGTCCAGGCCAAAGCTGACATAGTGTCCTCAGATTATGCATGAACGTCCTCCGCAGCAAAATGTGTAGTTGATGTAGGACTATTATGTCTTGTATGCTGTTAACTTTATGCGGAAGTGTTTCCCTAAGCCAGTCCGCAACTAGTCAGTGTATGGAGTGAATTTGATTTTGTCCTCAGACTGCTCATGGATGTCCTCTGTGAGCAAATGTCAGGTTGCAGTTTTGGTTGATGTGGGATTTTTTTAACAAGTACATTGTTAAAAATCATGGGGAAGCGTTTCCTAAACCACTGTGGGTACAAGTCCAATGTCTGGCCCAAAACTGAAAACGTTCTCAGACCCAATCATGAAAGTCCTCGTAAAGCAAGTAAGTGCCAACGTTGCTTTGGCACTGGATTTTTGTGTTGAATTCCTTGTAAAAATCAGTGGGAAATATTTCCCTGACCAAGTCCAACTACAAACATCCTGACTAGACGTCTATAATGTCTTCAGACCACCAATGGACATCCTCTATCCTGACTGAAGTTTATTATGTCCTCAGACCCCATACAGACGTCCACTATCCTAAACTATAATGTCCTCAGACCACCAATGAACGTCTTCTATAGCAAGTACTCATTGTATTCTGTGGCTTCCACTTGAGTTTTTGAATTGAATCAACTTTTGATTTTTTTTTTACCTTCTCCCATCAGCTTGACGGAGTTGGCCCAGAGTTGCGAGAAGACGGTCCTCAAGCGTCTGTTGAAGGAGATGTGGCGCATCGTGGTCAGCACAGTGGAGAAAGTCGTGGTCCTGCCACCCATGAATGACGCCTCGGTGAGTCTCAAAAGGTTTTTTTTTGGTTTTAATTGAATTATTTTCTTCAGAATCCTACCCATAATAAAACCTCCAAGACGCAGACCACACACTTTAGAATCTCGATCTTAATTTCTACTATACCAAGTGATGTTTCGGTAAACTTGTCAGCTTTGGTTTAGGACTGCACTTCAAGACAGATTATATTCCGAAGCTGGGATTTGAACTAATTACTTGAAGACTGCACAAAAAAACATTCCAGTAATTAGATTTCTTAATCACTGGGTCGTTTTGACTGTTTTATACGCTGACCGATAAATTTAGAATTGCATCCATTTGCTCTTGAACATTTCATGATTTGGACATTTTTCTCATCTTTCTGTCATTTCTTTCTTTCTTTCTCCTGTCCACCATTTTCAATGTTTCTCTCTTTGTTTAAAAAAAAAACACTCTCTGCATGCTGCACATTGGTTTTATCATTGGGGTGCAGATGAGCTCAATTCTCGCCACGCTGAATCCAGCGCTTGTCAAACTACAACAAGTCCATGGTGCTACCAAGGTAACACATTGTCAGCATGGCCCCTCATCCCTGTGTGGCAAATGTTGTATATGTTTAAGTCTTGGATCTAGACTCTTTGTAGTCTGAAACCCAGACTCCTTGTCGTAGTCTTCATTGGTTGGTGTGTGTCTTGAGCTCTGACTTTTTGTGTGTGTGTAGATTGCAATTGCATGATTAAAGTATCGCCTATTTAGTGGTGAACCGTCTGAAACCACGTGTCTTGAACCCTGACTCCTTTGTGTAGGTTTATAGTAAAGTTGTAAAGTAGTCTGCGTCCTTCAGTGGTATCAAATATGCGGTTTGTCTGAAATCCTGACTCCTTAAAGTAAGTGTCTTGAATCCTGACTTCTTTGCATGAACCAGTAACAATCCCTCTGATAGTCTGCTTCTGGTTTGGCTTATAGTATTTAATTTGTTTTGCATGCAGTTTTAACTTGTCTTAAACCCTGCTTCCTTTCGTCTGATGATAGTCAACAATTTTGGCCGAAAAAATGCATCTCATACATTGTAATTTAGTTTCCCGTGACAAACTGACGACTGGTGAACTGAAGAATTGTCATGTATTGTGTTACTTTTTGTTAGAGTTGTATATAGAGATAAACTGCCAAATACATACATACTGTATTGTGTGATTTGTAGCTTGTAGCGTAGCTATTAAAGAGTATATTCAGACTAATTTGTTTTTGTGGCATGAAGTTTTAAACACATTTCTGTTATATATTCTGCAGTTTGTAGACTTATCAGTGTATCCATGTTTATTAGTGAGGGAGCTGAAACATTTCTTGGAAAACTTAGAAAAACGCAGCCATAAAGAAAACCATTTGACAGGCGGCTGTGCATATGTACTGTACATGTATATCTGTTCCCACGTCCCCTATAGATTGTGTTATTAACTGCAAGAGGCAGCCAGTTTTATCATGCTTGTGTTGTTATGTAATATATTGCTGAAAAATCAAGAAATTTTGAGAGAATGACCAGAAGTCTGCATCACTGTTGTGGGATTTTGCTGAGTTGGGCCGGTAGCTGTGAGGTATTGCAAAGAAGACAAAGATTTAATCCAAATTTCTCATAAGCCCTTTTCACACGAGACAAATCTCGGGGTTGACGCAGGGCTGCAAACATGCGTTTCACACTTGAAGAATTTCAACCCTGCGTCAACCTAGACATTGATTTCGCCCTGGGTTGAACTTAACCCTGCTCTAGACCAGGGTTGAGATTTTCAACCCCGGGTTGAAATTCTTGCAAGGGTTCAAAACAGTAGTAACTGAGCATAATAAGCTTGATTTGCATGAAACAAGTGTGAAATGGGTGGCATGGGTGGCTTGTGTGTAAAGCCTTCGCCTCTCACCAAGGTGACCACGGTTTCGAATCCCTGCCGCGATCGCATGTGAGTAGAGTTGTGCGTTGGTTCTCTCCTGTGCCACGAGGGATTTTCTCCGGGCCCTCCGGTTTTCCTCCCTCCGAAAAAATCAAACACTTTCGATCTCAGGCTGTGCTCCGTGGTTATATATGGGTCGATGTGGCCTGCAGCCATAGGCGCCTTTACGTGCCAGCGGCCCGACCACATTGTAGCCGCGTCCTTTCGCAATTCAGCATACCAGCTGCGAGTAAGGATGATTAGCCTCCCAAATTATTATATTATTATTAAATGATGTGGGGTTGAACGCAGGGTTGAAAAATCAAAAACTCAACCCGGGGCAGCACTGGGTTCCCCCGGGGTTGAGTTCAACCCGGGTTGAAAAGCTCTAGTATGAAAAGAGCTATACTTTGACTACACAACCTGGAATATCTTGGGCATGGAATACGACCTAGTCTATCCAAAGCATAGGACAGAAAGAGTTGATGCAATTCATCTCTGATTTTATGACCTTTCATTGTCTTTGCTAATTAGGTGTCTTTGCTAAGTAGGCATTTAAAACAGTTTGATCTTAAGATTTCCTTGTTTGCACCAACTGAACATTTCCTGGTTTTCAAATTTGGGTCATTCAATAAATTTGGGGTCTAAAAGTGGGACATTTTTTGTGTCCCAGTTACACCTGACCTGTGTAATTTGCCATTCAAGAATCATTAAAATTGACTTCACACTATTTTTGTACGTACTTTCCTTTACATAATCACTCTTAGAGAAGGCATTATTAAAGAATGTGTCCTGAATTACAAACTCTTAAACATGTCAGATGTAACAGGGACACAACAAAGTGGACCCCAAATTTACAAAATGACCCACTTTCAAATAAGCCATTTGCGAGTAACCTATACCCTTTGGGATTTACATTTAAAGAACATCTGGTACACTGACTTGCTCAGAATGCTCGCCACATTTTAACTTTGAATTCTCCAGACCAAAGACACTGTTGCTGATCACATGATGCGGGGCAAGCTCTTGCATAGTTACGTAAGAGACGCTCAGCACCAATACATTGTTCACAATGGGTGAGAATGGCACAAAGACACCAGACCATGCCGGAGCTGGGGTTGCTAGCATAAGGCTTCCCCCGAATCACATGATATAGTAACAGTCTCTTTGGTCGGGAGACTGCAAAGTTAAAACGTGCAAAGCATTGGATTAAGTCAGCGTTCCAGATTTTATTCAAATTTAACTCGCAAATGGCTTATTGTATTGTACCTGGAAGAGGACCAAAAATCACTTCTTTTTTTTCTTTTTTTTTAAGTCATCAAATAAATCACTAGGCTGAGTCAAGCTTACTCACTTGGTGAACAAAAAAAATTGACTGACATAAGATTTGAACTTGTGACCACTGGAATGCCGTAATAGTGCTCTACCAACTGAGCACTGATAATGTTTTCTGGAGGTAGCTTGTTCGAATCCAACTTCAGTCTTATATGTTTTGTTCATCCAAGATATATTTTTCATTTATCAAATTTTGTACAGTGTATAGTCTAGAATGTTAACATCGAGCTTCGTTTCCTTATTTATGACAGGAAGGGAACAGGGAAGAAAATAAGAACCTGACACCCAAGCAGTGTGCTGTCCTGGATATGGCACTCGATCAAATTAAGGTAAGCAGAAACTTCACTCAGTATTCAGAGATAATGTAAGTTATCCCACGAGCGCTAGTGGAACACGGAATAATGTAGTGCGTCTGTGTTCCACATTCGGCCGAGTGGTATGTGGGACACCGACGCACTACATTTTCTGTGTTCCACGAGCCCGAGCTTGATAACAAGTTTATCTTCAAGCAAACTTACACGCAGTACAGTTGGAACGAGCACGTTTTACACGAACATTTCAGCAGTTCAGTGCATGCAGCTGGAATGTCGCTCGCATCTTGGAATAGCGCAATACGCACGGTGCGATATGGACCGTGCAGCCTCATATCACACTGTTGTTGCCATGGATCGACCAATCAGGATCGAGGATACAAGTTTGCTTGTAGGGGTTAAAGAGGCAGCGTTAGCTCAAGACATGGAAGGAAAATTTTCATACAGAAAGTCTGAGATAAGACTCCTTCACATGTGATGCAAATACAAATGCAAACATGAAGTGAATCGAACATCAGCATGCATTCGCTGCAAAATTTGCCAGACTTGAAATTTGTTGAAATAAAATTTTCTGCTGTAGTTGGCAAACATTGTTTGCTTCAGGTTAGAACCAAAAGCCATTTTTTTTTCATCCTTACATCAGTACATTTCCCTTATGATTAACTCCTAGCTTAAACATTATTTCTGACTCATTTCAGCAATATTTCCACGCCTCTGGCAACGGTCTGAAGAAGGCCTTCCTAGAGAAGAGCCCTGAGCTTCAGTCCTTGCGCTACGCTCTCTCCCTGTACACGCAGACCACAGATACGCTCATTAAGACATTCGTCCAGAGCCAAACATCTCAAGGTGAGTCTCATAACAACTCCTTGTTATTGGACTCATTTCATCTCCAGTTTCTCAAGATGTGGGCATGCCATAAAAGAATATTTCTTTATATTTTTGGTAGGGGAGGGTTGGGAGGGTTGGATGGGTGGTAGGGGGTGGGAGATGTGTGGTGATGGTAGTGATGTGGTACATGTACATGAACACAACACATGTAAGGGCATTTGATCTTTTAGTTAGTTCGATCATACTGGGGATTGGAGTGGGGTTGGGTAAGGGGAGGTTGGGTGTTTGGGGAAGTGTGGTGATGGTGGTATGTAGTACATGAACATGCATGTAAGGGCATTTGTTGACTTTTATGTTGGCATTTGAAAAACTGACCCCTACACCTTGGCACACCATCCTGAATCGTGATCCACTTCCCTCATGCCCATCCCCAACCCTACCTTCAGCCTCCGTTCCCGCCTTCGGCCGGGAGCCATGGCTGCTTCGCCGTTCTAGTTTTTAACCATCTTTACCTAAACCTCTGTGTATTACAGTCTTAATTTGCTACCAGAGTAAAAATGTGACCCCGACTACAAAATGAGTCTCAAATTTTTAGAGCTGCTTTTTAAAAGGGTTTTAAAATATGTCGTACTTTTGCATGCTGTCTTGGTATGTAACTTGGCACTCTTACATTCTTACTTACTTACTCCATGGCACTTACTTACTTACTTACTCCATGGCCTCCCTCCCAGCAGAGCATACTGTCCTCACGAGCTCCTTCCACTTGTGACGATTGGTTGCTAAAGGGGCTGCTTGGTGTTTGTAGAGGTTGAGCCTTTCCAGGTCTCTGTCCAGTGTGTCCTCCTAACACAACAAAGTACAGTCTTCTTCATCTTATGTTGCCTGGTGACAGTTTGACAATTTTTTGATTCTCTATTTTTCTTTTCAGATCAGCCGAGTTTAACCCACTCTGTTGGCGAGGTGTCAATCCAGGTGGATCTGTTTACGCACCCAGGGACAGGGGAACATAAAGTCACCGTCAAAGGTACATACAGCAAATACCTTTTGTATCATCCCTCAAATCGAGCTAGTTCCATGATGAGACATCGCCGTTCCCGTTTCCCCAACCTCCACCTCCACCCCACCTCCACCCACCCTCGTCCCACCCCCACCCCTGCCCCTGCCCCACTCCCACCCCCAACTTGAAAAAAGATCAAAAACAAACACTTCAAAATGTTATTGACATCACTAAACTAATTTCGACCCCTCCTTGAAAATTCAAAAAATTTTGAATCTCCTATTCCTAATACTGACTGCATCAGTATCACTCCATGTGCGTACGTGTCTCCAGAGTTATCAAGTGCTCACAAGTCTTCACAAATCAAGCTCAAGTCAGTCCGTAGTCAATCACTAGTTATTCTGCCCCAAGTCAAGTGGATATGTGTTCCCACGAGCAGTAATGAAGGCATTCCATTTTCATTGTCCGTCTGTTGCTATTGGATGAGAGTTTTGACTTGTGCTTTACTCAAGAATTGTCTCTGAATTCTCCCTGGTCTGTTTCAGTGGTTGCCGCCAATGATCTGAAGTGGCAGACTACCAGCATGTTCCGGCCGTTCGTGGAGGTCTACATGATCGGCCCCCACCTGAGCGACAAGCGACGGAAGCACAGCACCAAGTCCAAGGGAAACAACTGGGCACCCAAATACAATGAAACATTCCAATTGTAAGTATTTGCCCATGGAAACATTGATTATGTGGTTTTAGAGCGAAGACAAGTGAACAAGTTCATGCTGAGATGGAACGCATGGAGGCTTTTAGTTTGGGGAGTAAGGTTGGCGCAGTGGTTCTTTCCTGGCCTTCCACCTCTATGGACTGGGTTCGATTCCTGCCCTGGTACACATGTGGATTAGGTTTTCCATCCCTACCTGATTCTGTGGGTTTCTCTTCCCCCCCCCCCCCCCCCCCCCCCACACACACACTCCCCAGAATGTTTTTCTTGGGTTTCCCTCCTTTTCTCTAAAACTGTCATTTCTTCTCATTGTCTCCTCTTAAGTTTCTTCAGGCTTTGGAGCTACAGTGTCTACGGCACTTTTGAGGAATCCTTGGTTTCATTACCAGATATGAATAACAATAATCCACTTGCCTTGGCTGTCTGCCATTTTTAACAAGTTCCAAAATGGAATATGAAGACTTATTGGCGCACTCCTCTTGTAATGGGCCATATATTTGGACAATTTTCAGCAGAAATATCCCACGTATTAAAGCTATGTGCGTGTACTTCAATCTAAAAATTAATTCCTGGTTAAAAGAAATGTTCAAATTTTACAACATGTTTTATGTGTGTCAATAACCTGGGATTCACGTATCTTTGTACTCCAAGATGGCGTCACCACAGCAACCTCATTCATGTGCAAATATTTGCTATACCAAGATTTTCTGCTTTTCTTTAACCCTAACTCCCAAGGCATCACCAATCTGCAACCGAAGAGTGCCCAAACAGCAAGGCACGAAAGCATGCTATTGCTAAACAAGAGGATTTGGGAACATAATCCTCTGCTCGCACCCGAAATCACATTTGATTACGCAACCTACAATAGTCACTCAATTTCTTATGTCCGCCCACTCTAACCTTTAATCGGACATAACCGGCAAAGACTAATTCATGCTTAAAATCTATGTTAAGCCATACAAGTCACTAGAGAAGAAGTGTCACTGAATGGGATAGCACCATCTCTTTTCCAAATTTCTTTTTTTATTTGAAGCAATGGCAGTTTTACTCTACTGATCACTGCCTCAATCCTGCAAAATCCTCCAACTGCCTCCATGTAAAAATTGCATACAGCCTCAATCCTGCAAAATGCTCGATTAGTTTTTTAATGTGGTCCTTGGAGGGGTGACCACTGCCTCAATCCTGCAAAATCCTCCAGCAATTCATCATCATCATTGAGCGCCCGCAGCCAAGATGGATGCAACCAAACTCTTCCAGACTCTCTTGTCTGCCATGGCCGTGGTGATGTCATCAACGTGCTGGCTCACATCACTACACACAGTGTCAACGTAGTTGAGGGGTCTCCTCCCTCTGTTGGGACAAGGCAATATCCAGCAGATGAGGTCGGAGACAACTTGCTCTTTGGCTATATAGCAGTGGCTGGCAAAGCGGGCTCTGTGTAGTGCTACTGTAGTTGAGATACATGGGATGCTGCCGTATATTTCCGTCTTTTTCTTATGTTCCCTCCAGGAAATATTTTGCGCTCTAATGAGGAGGCTAGTGTAGGTACCATCTAGTCTCTGTTTGAGCTGCTCTTTCATAGTCCATGTCTCAGCACCGTATGGTAGAATACTTTCGACAGAGGCTCGGAAGAAAGCAAGCTTAGTGGATCCTGATATGTTGGATTCTCAGATAGGGTGGAGTTTGTTGCACACATTCCATGCTTGACCCTTTCTTGTCAATATGTAGAGGCAGAGCCAGTGACATCCTGGAGCAGTGCGGAGGATGTCAAGTATAATCTAGGCCTAATTTATGCACGGCTGAGCGTAAACAACGCAAGGTCCGGCCAAAGACCCTGACACAGTGCATCCTCCAAAATCAGCCACACATTTTTGCCATTTAGCCTCAATCCTGCAAAATCCTCCAATTTTCAAAGAAGATTTTGGAGGATTTGGGAAGGTTAGTCTTAAAGGGACTAGATATAAGGTGTAAGATAACCATGTCATTTGGATATGGAACATTAACAGTCCTGATCCAACCCACTCCATTTTACACAGCATTCTTGGTAATGAGGATGAGCCTGATGCCTATGAGCTGCACATCTGCGTCAAAGACTACTGCTTTGCTCGCGAGGACCGTCTGATCGGCATTGGCGTCATGCAGCTGCGGGACATTGTGGAGTGCGGCAGCTGTGCTTGCTGGTGCGCGCTGGGACGCAAGCTGCACGTGGACGACACCGGGGGCACCATCCTGCGCATCTTGTCGCAGCGCACCAACGACGAGGTGGCGCGGGAGTTTGTCCGGCTCAAGTCAGAGCGGCGGTCAGAAGGCGGCGATGGGTGATGACAAGCATTGCCAGACCTAAAAATCAGCTGCCATTGTTTCATTAATGAGCAAAAAAGTGCCTCCATCCCAAACAAGTAAAAAAAAAAGTAAAAAGTATCCTTCAGTATTGAGCCTTTCTGAGGGAGAATTGTGTATTTGAACAGTAGTTGCTCTTCAGGGATTTCAAGAAGGGCCTAGTAGCAGACTTCAAGACGAAGAAACGTCTTCTACCGCACATGAAGCTGGTATGGTCACCATATGTAGGAGAAGTCTTTTTGTACAGCAACTCATCTGAAGCTTTCAATATGGTGTTCTAAAATAGACTGATAAATTTGGTTTGTTTTGTTTTGTTTTAACACCTTGTTTACGGTTATCAGAGTTAAACATTTTCAAGACTTAGTGTTTATCAACATTTTTAATGTTTGAACATTTGTTTTCGCTTCTTGTTTGCTGTCTGCTTCCAAGTTGCGCAGGTTGCATCTCAAAAATGGATTCGCTTCTAAGCACAATCACAATAAACCACCAAAGAAAAGTCATAATTTCTGGCAGTTGTTTTTCTGTCATGGTTATTAGTCTTCTGTACCATAAAATGCCTAGTGAACATCTCAGGCATTTTGCAACACTGCTTAGAATTTTTTGAACAGTTTCAGATTTCAGGCTCAACTCGACCAGAAATGACTGGGCAGGATTTTGTCCAACTTTGTAATCTGCCTATCGATCTAACTTATAAAAGGGCCAATTTAAACTGCTTCAGTAAGGTAATTTTCCTTCATATTTGCTGTTATACATCGCCAGGGTCCCTCTATCGTTGTCTTTGGACACACATCTTTCAAATATAAAATTTGTTTCCAATTTGTCTGTACAACTGTCATCTGCTTTGTATATATGAATATATAAATATAAATCACTTGATATATTATGAGGTTTTCTACCATTATTGTAAACATTCCATTGCGAATGCCACTTATAAATACAACACGTTTTTTGTACCTACATTAATTAATTAAGGAATTAACTGTAATCCCATTTTTTGTGTGGCATGTTTGAATCCAATCAATGTACTTCTTTCAGTTGATCCATGATCACTTGATTAAAAAAATTATTTGAACTTGAAAACATTTTTAAAATCTGTTCATTTTTCCTCGTCTGTAGTTCAAGCTGTTCAAAGTGTAAATGAAAAAATTATATATCAGCAAATATATATTATAAATATTCCTATTTATTTCTGCGGCTCTGTCGCAACACGCGCTGTTTTTGTATAGTTGTGCCATTGCCTACATGTAGGTGTATTCATCAAAATTATTTGTGTATAATTATTACGAAGGATTAGCCTTCGCTACGCTGTGATGACTACTTCGCACGGTTTGATGTAATATGCGTGAACAAGTTGGTGTTTCCACCAAGTGCAATTTGATAACAAGTAATATTCAACTCCTATGGTGCACAGTAAGACTTTCCAAAAAAAACAAAAGAATAAAAAAGAGTAACAAAAACATAAAACCAAGTTTGGTAAGTCATTTTTAAAATATTAACCAATTTACTCAGAACATATATCGAGAATCGTAATCTTGTTTATATTGAGTAACTATATAAGTATGTTGATACACTTCAACAAGTATTGTTGGATTTGACAAAATGAAAAGGAAAAAAAAAGATAAATACAACTTTTTTATATACCAAACTTGATTTGCAGTTGATACATGAAACTTTTGATAATGATTTACCTTAACAAATATTTCCCTAAATTTTCAAATTTTGACTTTTTCAAGTTTTTCGTAAGCATTCTCCTGTAGACCTAGAATGTTGTTTTTTCCCTTCTAAAATTAGTAATGTATGATCGTGTTGTTGTTTTTCTCTCGAAAATATGTTTTGTCTACATGATGTTTTATACCTAGTTTAATTAATGGAACTGGTTGATATTGTTACCTCTTTACATTTAAATTTAGGTTGGTGAGCCATCCTTTAATTTTCGTTTTTGAAGAGAAATTTTTCAATCAATTTCTTTATGCCTCCTTGTGGAAGGAAAGTCCCTAATTTGGTTTGTTTTTTTTTGGGGGGAGAATAGTTTTTTTTTCCATTTACTTAGTGTTTTATTTTTTGAGGAGTACCATGCAAGTCTAGTTCCCTGACGTTACTGTCGGCCCCATGTTTAGTTACTTAATAGACCATTATCATGTTGCAGCCATTTGATTTTTTTCCCATTCAAATCAACGTAACCAAAGCGAGGCTGGAAGGAGAAGTAGTCTGGTTCCTTTTTGCACAAAAACAATGGCATTCAGTACTGTTCTTTGATACAGGGAACATGACTAAAATGGTGGCAGCATGATAAAGGTCTATTGAGCTGAGATCGAGAGAACTGACATTTTGAGTTTGAAATTCCACTTGTTGAAATGTGCCGTTTAACACATTACTTCCCGAAAATGTCCTATCAACTAGATCGGCGACCTCAATTTTGGAAGCCATTGCTGGGAGGGACCACCATGCGCGCAGGTCGTACGCGCGCTCTATGGAGTACAGAGGTGAATACATCACGCGCACAAAATGTGTGTGGAAAAGACATTGGCGCGTGAATCAGACACACGCGTGCGTACTCGAGTCGTTTGCGCCATGTTCCAAATGACGTCACACTTCGGTACCATTATTATGCTCCTTCGACCAATGGGTTTGTTCTTTTAGCTCAACGGGTCAACACGGGTCAGCCCCGTGCCGTTCACTTAGCTCTGACGTCACTCTCGGGCCTCACCGGCACCTACTCGAGTCAGCCACCGCAGACCCTGCTCGTGCGTGGAGCAGAGTCAGCGGTGGAAAACGTCACGCATGCGTTGTTCATTCCCTAGAAACGGACAAATATGGCGGCCGGACAGCGAAAATCTCAAGTGGACTTAAAAGTTGACGTTATTTGAAGTATAGAGGTAATCACTTATTGAGTTAATTCATTGCAACTTTTGAGGCTATAATTTCAGCCCAACATTTTTGAGTTTCGCAATTGACTAAAAAGCAGTAAATTTCTAACTAAGACCGAATCCGAAACGGGCGTTTTGTCAGTGGCTACGGCCACGGTTACGGGCGCCACGTGAGGATCGTGATCATGAAGGCCCGCTGTTGAGCCTTCGATTAGCCCGGCTGTGGTGGCTGACTCCCGTCTGCCTTTACTTGTACCACGATGCGCGTGCACTCAATCTTTGATAATGTGTTCGACCATTCGACGTGCGGCATGAGCAGGGTAGTCCTACTACATTGTATCTCATGAATAACTCTTGACTTTCAAGAAAAAGAGCATGATAAAAAAAGAATATCGTATAGCGACCAAGATCTGATTAAATTAATATCCCTTCGACGTCTAATATCATTTGGCATTTTGTTTTGTCCAAAGGTTGAGATTGCTAGCAATAATGTAAACATCCCTTTATACATCGCAGTAATACGTGGAGGATTAACGTTTCATTAATTTGAATGTACAATTTCTTCAGCCACTCCATTCCGGTCAAATAGCTTCATTCCTATCCATCCTTGCCTCCTTATGTTTGCATTAGCACTAGAGTTTGTACACATCTTTGGAAGACGTGTTGTGTTAAGACATGTAGCCTCAGTAGGGCGCGTAAACTATGTCCACAGATCAACATGTATTGTATGCAGCAGTAGTAGTTTACACCACTTAAATTGCTTTTGTAAGGTTTGTTATTTTTTATTAATATTTGGAAAGGATTATGAATTGCATTTGAAGACAAAAAGGATAAAGAGATGATGTGTTATACATATGCAAAGACAACTAATGATTGAAAAGTGTATATATTTTGATGCGGTATCAGTGGAAAGGCAGACAAAGATTGTGTGACATTTTGTACATTTCTTTCCTTCTTGATATTTTATCTGACCAATCGGTCTTTCGTTCCTTTCCTTTTAAGCGAAATTGATAAAAAGGTTTTTCAACACCTTTTCAACCTAATTTAACGTCTGTTTTGGCCATACCAGTTCACACGGCGTTCATTTTTCGTTTGTCTTTAAAAATAAGTCCACAATTTTTCCCCCTTTTGAGACCAAATTTAAATAGTTCCCCTTAACACAATAAACGTTTATATCGTGTTATTTTAGTACTTTTTGATAAACCTGATAGGGTCTATAATATTTTGTAGCACCCTTGCGTCGAAAACAAAAAAGTCGGACTTATCCTGTAGTACAAACTGAAAGGTGCTAAACCATTTTTACTAATAGAGTCGTGTCAGTCCAACTAAGTGTATACATGTATTAGGGCGACCAATGGGTAAATCACTATGTTCGAGACTAAACTATTGGTACGTCTGTAGTGTTAAGTATTTCCAATTACATTTGATCAACAGGTCCTCTGTATTTTCCAGGTTTTTGTTTAATAGGGACCCACCTAGAAAATTCAATAGCATGTTCAGGCGTTAGACTAAAGAAATAGCAATTTCTTAAGAGAATGATTTGTGCTAGTTTTCAATTTTACAGTAAAATATGGACGGTTGTAAAAAGCAACAGTTATTTTCCCACAGTGTGTTAAAAGAAAAGATTATTTCATCGTTTATTTGTTGTCATAAGATAAGGGTTATTTTGAAAGGATAACTGCAAGATGTTTATTCAAATAAATCTTTAAAGTTTCACCTCTGTTATCCTTTTACAGTACCTTATATTTCGATCGTGTAAAATTATCTCGTCAATGCCCTCCATTTTGTTCATTTTGGAAAAGTTGCTATTTGCGTTGAAACTGGAAACAAATTTTACATTGGAGTAAAATGACCGTGATGAGCTCATTCTAAATTTCCTTCGAAGTTGAACAAAATAGTTGTACAACTCGATGTTCACGTCACACGGATTACAAAGTCATGTACGAGACATCACATTAACTTTAGCACCATGTTGTGGTGTCATGTATAGGCCTACATAAACGTTGTGTGTCCCGGCGTTTCTGAAATCTCGACTTGTCTCTGACTTCAGCTCCATTGTCAAAATGAATGACGGAAAAGTAGACGGAGACCGAGCCGTTTCAGGATGTTCGTATTTCCATGTTACAACAACTTCGTCCCCGTGGCGTTCATATGCTACCATTAGCTCTTTGTTTTGACGAGACCGATGTTGAATAAGACCCTGGGGAGGATCAGTGTTGATTTTTAATTTTACTGTATGGTCCCCTACCTTCACATTTTTAGTCAGCACTCACCGTCTGTCTTGCGTTCGTGTTAAAAAAAAACACATGTCCATAGATCAGTACTGTATGCATGCTAACACCGCCCAAAAAAACCCTACTTTTTTAATTCACATTTTGTTTTACAGTTGCAGTTATTTTGCAATTCCTTTGTTGTCATCTACCCCCTTCAAATTAAGCCAGAGATTGTCAGAACGGTGTTGGGATTTTTATGTTTTATATTCGAAGTTTTGGGTCTGGCTTCTCGCTTCATCAGGAAATGACTGATACATTCATGTACCCTTGACATTTTAGTCGTGCGTTAAGGTCATTGTGTGGTGTGCACGTGTTGAAGGGGCGGGGTCATCCTCAACGGGGGGAGGTGGATGATGTGATAAGTGTATTTTAAAAGAAACAGAGAAAATCTTACTGAAACATGATTTCCAAAAAGGAAATTCTTCTAGAAAGTAGTGGTTTGCTTTACATTTTTGATCGAACTTAACACGTTTTGAGTATTCCCAGGACGCTATAGGAGATAGTGGTATATTGCATTTCCATTACTAGTGTAACATAGAGCCAGTATGACTGTCTATGCACTCCCTATTTTATGCCTACTTTTACATTTATTTTGCCCTTTATTGTTGGGAAAAACAGGGCCTCGTTGAGAAATTTAAACTTATTCCATGGTGTATTTCGTAATGAAAAAAAATATATTTTGTTTATGTTCGGCAATGGCGATAGGAAATTGGAATGGTTAAGTTATAAGATCATACTGATTAGCTTACGCAGTGTAGTATAATTTCCGTGTGCTTTAACCGACTTCTTAAGTTTCTCCCTCGTTTATAACAATTCTGCGTGTGGTACCCATGTACATTGTATATAAAACAAAAAAGGTGATGTCTACACTCAAGTCTTTCTAATGTGAGTGGGTTTTGTTACATATGGCTTTTTTTTAGTGGATGTGTAACTTTCTGGTGGAAGGATCGGATGCACTGCTGAATCAGCGGTGTGTCGGTTCTGTGTACTGATTATTTCGAAGCAATATTCGTCACTTTAAGAAAAAACTCGGCCATCTTGTTGGCTCATCTCTTCTCTGGTATCTGACTGTATTATGACTGGAGTCAATAAAGTCAATAAGTAAAGAACTAACTCGATTCTGGCATCAGTAATTCATTGCTGTTTTTTGGATAAGTTGACCATTCGGCGTTTCGGTCTTTCCAAATCCAGTGGCGCTTGCATCGCAGTTTTAAAGGGCTCATGTAATGTATTTTTTAAATACAATTCTTGAAAATGCACCTTTTTTTCCATTGAATTTTTTTTTTCAATTTTCGTTTTGCCATGTTTAAGGGTATTTTTGTGCCTTTTTAGTTTTGATGCTAATGTAAATTTCCATATTCACGAGCGAATGCGGGATGTCATTTCAGACAGAAACTTTGAACAATGTTACAGCTATTTCAGCACCAAAAAGTACCAAGATATGCAGTTTTAAATTGTATTTTCTTTGGTGATTCGTTGCGTCAGAACATGGCAGTAGGCCAATGAGCAAACCTTTCTCACATGTTAAAAAAACCAATATCTTGGTTAACAATTCCTGAAATGACATCACAGCAACAGCGCCCTCAGGTGTACGAAAAAATGGAAACATTGAAATGTTGTAAAAGTTAACCAACAAGGGATGTCAAATAGTTTTCATACATTTAAGAGGAGTAAAAGTTGCACAAAATGTTTTTTTAAGAAAAAATAATTCATCTCACTTTTTAAACAGTCGGCAGTGGTCATAGCCTAGGTTGAAAATCATGGCATGAAGCAATCAAACTTGGCATTAAGGGTATACCGTCACGTGCATCTGAGAATCAGTTTAGATATCTTGTCGGGAATATTGGGAGACTTTTGGGACGTTGGTGGCAGCAAATACACCAGTCCGCTTTCCCATTGTGCGTCATATTGAGCATGCGCACTTAAGCTTAAAGGGAAGATACAACATTTGCAAACATTAACAACGAAGTGATCAAATTATCAAGAAATATCTTACTGGATTGTTAGAGAATGACATTCTAAACCACCCTGTAAAATCGTGGTTCCTGGTGTGCAGACATTTTCAAGAAAAATTGTATTTTTCTGCAATTGATTACAAATCTGTGAAGGGGTACAAGCCTGCCGGATTGATTCTCTGACCTTACAATTCCCCAAAGTTGACATACTGCTCCATTTCATCTTAAGTGGGGTCAGGGAACCAGACTACAAGAACATGATGTTTTTCTTGGTTTCTCCAGCATCTTCATGCCCAAAACGTGAAACAAGTCGGTTTAACAATATTTGCTATAACATTATAATCCCCCAAATCCATTTACTACTGAAAATTGCAGCAAGAGCAAATGTTGTACATGCCCTTTAAACGCGACGTAAACAATGGACCGGTAACAAGGACAACGTAAACAAGGACTGGTGTGTTTGCTGCCACCAACGACTCAAAAGTCTCCCAAAGAGTGGAACATCTTTGGTGAAGGGACTTTTAAGTTCTAGAAAGCTTCTAAATACCAGCAGAATCTGTTTTCAGCAGCGATAAGTCTTAGAGTGAGATTCAATCAATAAAATGATGTGATCCCGTCTATTCGAAACTTTATATTCTCCAACTTTCAACCCACCAAACGAAGGCAAATCAAACTTCTAATTTGCCGCATCAAATTAAAGCACGTCAAAAAGCTCATGTAATCGAGAAAGGGTGGTTTTAATGCAAATCTGCTAGGTTTAGCAGCGATGCCGAATGCGGTTGTTCGTGCCCCACTTAAATGTTCCCGATAACGTGGTAGTAGCATAATCCCACTTATAAATGTCGGCTTTCCGTTACGGATGTAAGACCGGATGCCACAGTCAATCCTGACGTGTATGTCTACAATGAATACCTCACACAGCTCCACCAGTTACATGTGTAGTACGTGTATAAGGGTAGTTTTATGAATAATGTTCCGATCGACAGTTCTACTTTTAAAACAATCCAATTTAAAACAAGAAAGGAAGTATGACATTCTGTGCTTAAGCCTGAGCATTAAGTGTAATGCTATGCTCACAATCAGACAGGACCAAGTGTTAATGATTAATTTTGTTACAGATTTGCCCCCCCCCCCCAAAAAAAAAATGTGTAGCCTACTACGCAAACAACATTCATACGTGCACGACAACCTTTAAAATCAAAGAAAGATAAGCCTATTCTGTCAATACATCACAATTTAGGCTGAATCTTATCTTCTTTTAATACTTTTAAGTGTGGGGTATGTGCTGACGTCTTTTGGCTGCACATTTAATAACTCCAATGCTTAAATGGAAGACACTCCTCCATCAAATAGCCCAAAGGGCCTCCAATACTATGTCTCTCTCCAGTACCCTCACATTGGGGGGGGGGGGGGGGGGGAGGGGGGATTTATTCGGGTTTACTGAGGCATTTAAGTTAGAAGTAGCAATTGCCCGAAAGTGCGTGAAAATCAAATTTTGTGGTGGGGGTTACCACATGGTAACTAATACATTCTTTCGTGGTTTTATAGGAAATACTGTTGGTAATGATAATACACTTCAAATTAGGTTTTGCCCTTCACCGACGTATAAACACTTTTATTGTATACTCGGTGTGTTACCACGTGTGAATTTTGCCAGTTTTTTTATGAATATAAAACTTGCAAGATGAAGAAAAGTTAAAACCATCAATACCCATTTCAAATTTTCACTTCGGTAGGGTTCATTTTAACTACGAGTTAAAGTGATTGCAGGATAAGCCAATAAGCCTCTTTTTTTTATAAACCCGGTCATCTCATTTTACAAAATTTCCTTGTACAATTAAGTAATGTAAAGGTAAAGTGCATACAATTAATATCGGTCTACATTACAGTAATAGACAGGATACGGCTTACAACCAACTTATGAAAAGTTCCTTTCCCTTTTCTGGTCGTGCAAAGACCTACTGTCTTCCTCGTGGTACAACCCTGCACAGTATACATCTAACAACATCGAACAGGGATACTTATATAAAGGAAATGACACGAAACTGTGCAATTGAAAATACTTTGCAACCGGAATTTATGGAATTTGTGGGGCAAGCATCCTGCTTGCTAACTCTCTGTTGCTGTTTCAGTTATTGTTGATGAATAATAGATTTCGTGTTTATGTGGACTTAACATGCAGTCTAGGGTATACATATGACTAGTCTTTACAGTAGATAGTTTCGGTTAACGCAAGTGTATACGGTAGCCGAACGTGAATCACGGTTATTTTCATAGGTGGAATTTCTGTCTTTAATGCATGTACTGTCGACTTCTCCGCGCTATTACATGCGTTAGAGATATTTTGTTTTTGACATGCATACATGTTTTGCTTGGCATGTAGCGATTCTCCTCACATCAATTATAAGAGACTTTGTGCATCCAAATTTCAAACTGGAATTGATCTGGTCCCATCTTGACAGTTTCATAATAATATGCGAGGGTTAATAGGGTATTTATCAGTTCTTAAACCTTATGTTTGTTACGTTTAACCCAGACTTTGGAAAAGAGAGATCAAGAAACGACGCACAAAGACATAATTTTCTCATTTTCTTGATATCCAAGGCAGTGTCAGCTTAAGGGAAACCTCTTTATACATAAACAGTATGCAGAAACTTCGATTATTTTGTTGTGATAGTAATTGTCAAAATTATCAACTGTAAAATGCCTTCATAACATTATTGAAACAACAATTTCCTTAAAAATTGTTGCGAATGTCTATACATAGATGGTCCATAATTAGATGTATCAAGTTTATTCCAAAAAGCTATAAAACATTTTTTGTAATCGAATCATGTAATCATTTGTAAATGTTTAACAATCTACTTTTATCGTTTTATTAATATATAAATGTAGAACATTCATGCAATATCCTAGAAACCTTGACTTGAATTGAGTCTCGAGTGTTATATATGGGATATACTGTGTTGCAATTTTACGTATACAATTTAAGTATAAAATAGTTATAATTATGAATAATAACTATACATAGAAATAGTACAATCTATAATATGGTTTTCATAAATGTATTGCATGCAGTTATAACTTTATCAAGTTATCAATTTATTCTTTTCTAACCCTCTTCCAAAAATCAAGTTATCAATTTATTCTTTTCTAACCCTCTTCCAAATTTCAGGTACCACGACGTCACTTTGATCGTGTCATTAAATTTACAAACAATGTGAAGCTGCAATACACCTTCAAGGAATGCACCGTTAGCATTGTCAATCATACTGGAACTCGTCTTTATAATACATTACCGAAATCCAAAGTAACACTTCGGTGGTTTGTAATCTGTGCGTAGATGGTCTTGTCTCCCGTGCCCACGGTGGACCGTTGGATCGAGTCAACGGTTGAACCAGAGCAACCCGCCGAAGAATCCAGCTCTAAGTCGGCATACACCAAGCTGGCCTCCGCTTCAGTTCCGGAGTCCACCAGTTCCGCGACACTGTACCCATTTTTGTCCAGGTTCCATTTGACCCGTTTGGATTTCTTCTTTGGTTTGATGTAGATGGTAGAGTCCTGTGCCGTGTCGTTTTCGATGGGCGGCTTTAGAGCCGGTCTGTTCTTGATGCCGTTCCTCCTGCGCTTTTTGGATACCGCTTTCAGCGGAATACCGGAGCTCGATAAGAACTGATCTTCCTCTAGGTCTCTGGGCTGACCCCTCCTTGGTTTGTCCGGGACGGCGTAGAGTGGGCACGGCGCAGAGTTGTTAGCGGGCTGGATTTGGGCTGGAGAGGTCACGGCAAAGTAGTCTTCGCGGATGTCCCCGCCGCTGCTGCGTCGAACCTTGTCGTACCTGAGGCTTGTCGCCAACGGTTTCCTGTGTCTTTGCCTGCGCCGCCGCAAGCAGCAGATGCAGAGGATGACAGCAATTGTGGCCAGGACAGCCAGAGAGACCGCAATAATGATCGACGTGCTGGGCAGCGTGATTCCAGTCGGTTTTGCGGTAATGGGACGCCGTGAATTCATGACGCCAACCGAAAAGTTGCTGCTGACCATTGCATTGGTTAGGGAGGTGTTGGTCGACGCAACAGTTGTCTGACCCTCGTGTGCTAAGGAGGCAGTGTTTAAGCCAACGGTAGTAAAACCTAACACATCGAGAGGAATCACCGTGATCACGGCAGTCGCATTGCCAGATAATGCGCTAGGGGTAGTGACGAAACATGTCACAGTGATGTTCTCTCGCACCGATAAGATCTCCAAGGACTGCTGGGTTTGATTCAACTCGTAACGATTCCTATGCAGTTCTCTCTTGGTTACTGTGTCTCTTATCACCCACCTGTAGCTTGCGATGCTGGGTTCGCCGATTCCTCTGCAAACCAAGGATGCTCCGGTGCCTTCTTCGGCTGTCACCTGAGCCGGTTTCACCTCGACTCTCGGGAATATCTCCAAGGGTCTCACGGAGCAGGTCCTGGGTCCACTCAGGACCGGGGATGTCATTGTACAGGTAAAATCTACTCCGTTATCCTGCGGTACCAGCTGCCGCTGGTGAGCCACGGGCGATGCCGAGCTGACTAGGACCTCTGTGGAGTCCCCTCTATGATAGGTGACCAGCGGAGGCGGGTTGCCTGTGGAGTTGCAGCGAAGAGTCACCCAGTCACCAACCTGATGAGCCCCCGCTGTCCTGGTGGAGTCAACACGGCACTCTGGCGACCCAGGGTCCGGGGGGATGTAGACCGTCAGGGTGGAACTCCCGGCCGACACGGCCGATCTTTCTGGAAACGCGTATTGGCAGATATAGGTCCCACTGTCCGATTGCTTTAGGTCTTGTATTCTTAGATTGAACTGCTCTCGCCCCGGATCGCCTAGAATCGACAGTCGTGCCTCCAACTCGTTAGGGAGTCGTCTGTATATGACACGGTTGATACTGAGGTACCGTCTGGTCTCCTTGCGGTACCAGTGCACCCTCCTTGCCCCGACATCCCGCAGGTCGCAAGTGAATACGACCGTGTCGCCCACATTTGCAGCGATCTGTCTCTGTGGACCTTCGTCCAGGCTGATTGAAGCTGCATATTGAAGGCTGATAGCGAACACGGCAATGGCAGTAACAACGGGCATTCCCATCCCAGCACACTGCATGTCTACAACTTTCTTGAATTCTGTTCACAGTCTGATCTCTATTGCCGTCGCCGACTACAACATCTCAACAAACGTATGCGTTTGATTTATATCGAGAAAAGGTTGTAACAGGTCGTCTTATAGCAGCGCTGAGCTGATTCACTTTCCGGTCTGACGATGGCTGTCGGGGGCTGAGTGCGTAAACTGGGAACTTGGATCGGTTGCTTTTCTATGAGTCATCGCCAAGAATGCAAGGAGTCCCTGGCCATGACGTTCAAGTTCAATGCACCGTGTCATACTTGTCAGTTTCAATGTGTCATCAACACACATTGTAGCCTTGGGTGACACCCGGGGTATACCCCTCATGATCAGTGGTGGGAACGAATGACGTGTTGTCATTATAGTGTCATTCTCGCGAAAGATTTTAATACAATGAGTCTTGGCTTATTATGGTCAGAACCCTTTAAAACAGAAAGATTGTCAGTAATGGATGTTTGCCAGATGATTCATGGCTACCTGTGTGCAGCATAATTGGTTCTCTCCCAAAAAGGAAGTAGAGAAATTAATTTTTCTACAAGTCTTTGTATTATGCGTTTTCATTAACATTTTAACGTAGGCCTAAGTGTGTTTTATTTTTTTTTCTGATCAGTTACTTTTGGTACAAGCAGTTTAGTTCTACATTCCATGACCACATGGGCCTATAGAGAACTGATCTGCAGGTTGAATCAAGTCTACATGAACATCCTGTATCGAAAATGTCAGGGCGAATCGTGAAATCGGGAGTTGTGGACACCGACCAAAATCACGATTTGCATGCTGTCAACACTTCTCTTGATTAGTTTTACTTTGTTCAACTGAAGGGTCCCATCCAGCTCTGAACAGGATTCTCACCTTGCATGTATGAGAAACTTTTTATGAAATCGGACTCAAGTGCCCGGATCATTACAATGGAGTGGTTGGATGTTTTTTTTCTCAAAATTGTGATAGGCTTCGTCTGCTTTGATGTTTTGAATACAGGTACTAGTCTTGAACACCTTGGACAGTTTTGAGTATTCTCTTGAATTTTTAAAGCGAGGGCACTTTTGTATGTGGTGATGTATTTATTGCGTGACAACCCTATTGTTTCTGAGATGCAGCTGGTGTCTGCATTAACAGTCAGATGACGGATGTATTACAAGTTCCCACGAACCTCGGTATAGAAACAACATGAAATCAGCGGTATTTATAGTTAGGATGTTGCTGTACCATCACCAGTGACCTTCACCATCATTGTGTAGGCAATTTTTTATCCTCTGTAGTAAATGTTGTTAATTGCAGATCATTTGTGGTTGTGTTAGACGTAGACGAATTTCAAATTAGCATTAAAACCGAGGCTCTCAGTGCTAAGCCATTGAATGAATTGAGGGCCTTTTTTTAATCCTCTCATTAAAATACAACGCTGAGCCCTTGGTTTCAGTGTCAATTTGAATTCGTCTTTAGCAATATTAAAAACAAAATGCTGAGTTTAAACACACTGACTGAATACCATAAGAAGAAAACCGCCAAATGGGAATCCTCATGTACCCTTTACCAATTTCCAGTTATTTCAGAAACAATTTTCAGCGTTGCCTTCACCTGTCGGTTTCGTGACCGTGTCTCTGGAATAGTAAACCACAATATTATAATGTTGTTTTTTAAATCGGGCAAGAAAAGCCAAGACAGCGCGGAATTTTAATTATGGTTCTGTCGGTAGTAATAATTTAAAAGAAATAAGATCTTTTTTATACATTCGAGACAACCTAGGACACACAAATATTATCTTCTGACAATTTATAGGCCTATATATATTAGAAAACTCTTGAGTTGAAGTATGTGTGATTTTCCATGCGAACGTAGGGCCTACTGTACATACATTCTTGTAAGTCAAATTTGCTAATTTGGCAAAGCTTTTATCTTCAACAAACACCCAGCCCAACTGAAGTCTTGTGCAAACTCAGTCCCTGAAGTTAGAAATGTATCATTTTGTCGAAGGATTAAATTGAACTGTGTAGGTCTTTCTCCTTTATATGCCTCCTTTTTTCTTTTTCTTTTTGTAGGGAGGAAGGGTCTATTATTGTACTCACCGAAATGGGCTTCTAGCCAAACGAAAAGGAACAGCAATTATGCAAATTGTCATACGCATTTCCGGTAGGTACGGGAAACATTGGAATCGTTACTTCGGTACAGCACCATGCTGCACCTGATGGTGAAAAGAAATGGATTCCATGCTTGTTCACAATTTGAATCGCACGCAGTTGATTTCTCTAAAGTGCTGACAAATTGATGGGCGCACAAGGGCGGATCCAGGGGGGGGGGGGGGGGGCAAAGGGGGCCATGCCCCCCCCCCCCCCAAAAAAAAACGAAACCAATTTTTTTTTTTTTTTATGTGACATCGCAATAAAGGCAGGCAATGAGTACACCACCATCTTTTCCTCAAAAAAACATTGGTTAAAGTGGTCAGAAATTGCCTCAGATCGCACCACAGAGCATCTAGAATCCAAAAAATTTTCGGGGCCCTTAAGCGGGCCCCGAACCCCACGCCGTAATTTTTTGGACCCACTTTTTTGGGGCACCAAAATTTTTTTGGGCCCCCCCAAAAATTGTGTTCTGGATCCGCCCTTGTGGGCGCATGCCAGCTTTTGACCTCCTGCGTACCCTCCGTTGTACATGTTCATAATTTGTTTTCCTCCCGACACATTCGGGTGTCGGGCATGGCATTAAGAGTACGGGTTTTATGACAAAATCACATTGACTTTCTGACTTGCACTTTGACTGCTAAAAAAAACCGGCATGGATGTAACCAAATTAGTCCCTTACAGAAGTACGCATCTGTGTTCCGTGTACATGTACCTTGGTGAAAATAGAGTCTATAATAGAGTCTATATTAAAAGATTTTTGTAAGCATGATTATTAATAAACACTGACGCATGGACTGCGCTTGCTTTCATGTACCTCTTCATGTCGCTAGAGGGCCTCCGTCAACTCAACGTAAACATGGAAACCGGGCAACATTTTCCCAAATAAATCTCTCTTGAAGACATGGTCCAGACATCCTTTAAAGTGTTCAAATGAAAGTTTACTATCTGATGTACAAGGTAAGCTAAACAAATAGTGTGTTTTCCCGCTTCTAAAGTGGCGTCAGGATACTACATTCTTACCGAAATGTATTTAGGAAAAACAACTGCCTGTCAGCTTAGACTATTTCCCTCCCCCCCCCCCCCCCCACCCCCCATTGTTGAAGTCCAAAGGGCAATGGGGTCACGGGAACCAGATTCAGCTAATATACCGCAACGAAGAGCCACACCTATTATAATGTCCAAGATATAGTCTGCTTCGAACAGCAAGATGACGCCACCCAGGCTTTTGATTTTAGCTTGCTGACTGGGTTAAAAACTGGCTATCTTGCAACACGGAGTGGTCTGTCTGCAAATTTGTTGTCATCCCCTACCATCTATTTAGTCTTGCAACGCCCATGTCCAAATGCACAAGATTTCTACCCCAAAACACTTACAACTTTCAACTTACAGGGACTCAAAGATTAACACAGGCTCCTGCCAAATGAATTAAGAACGTCAAGACAGGAAGGCCATCGGGGAAATGAATGTGTTGTGTGCTGCTTTTGTAACCTTCACTCTTCCTTTTATCAAACCCTCTAAAATAGTCTCTGTATGGTTGCCAGTCCTTGTATTGATACGGAATGATCACAAGTTACCAAAATGGTATCCAATTTGATGTTGAAGATGTTTGTCTGTACCAGCCACGGAGGATTCACCCTCTACGCTGCCCTGTTGTGTCTCTATCTGTCCATGAGGACGACTTTCTCACAGTCGCCGGAGTGCATGAGGTGCGATCCTGCGCCTGGGAGCGACGGCAGCTTTGCCGTTGGCGACTCGATAAACTCATTACTTATTACAAAGGGAAGATGAGGGTGGCCGGTCCGGGCCTCAATTTGACCTGTTATCGCTGCGACCTCGCGCCGGAGGACAACGGCATAAACCTCACTTGTACCGTGACCACGTCTGCCTTGAATGAGCAGTGTAACTGCTCCCTGATGCCGCTGAGAATCTTACCGAATGCCACCATCCTACCTCCAGCATCTAGGCCTGAGGTGGGGTCTTATGCAACCTTCGAATGTTACGGGGAGGGTGTGCCTGGTATTGCCCACTACACATGGACAGCCATAAACAGTGAAGACCGAGAGGCAATATCTTCCGAAAACTACACACTTTTGGCCGATGGTCGAGTTATGGTGATGAAAGCACAGGGCGACTTCGAGCTTTTCTGCGCAGTCAGGGTGCCTTCTGGACTTTCAGGCAATTCTAGCGTGATATCAGTTGTAGTAACAGATCCAGCGGGGCTGACAGCGACCCCTTGCCCTGGGGCATATCCCATCGCCGCCGTGCTTGCAGTTCAAGCTGCGGTGACAGTGGCTGCACTCGCATCCGTCTGGTGTCTGTGGAAGAGAATGCAAAAGATCAAGCCACCAGCTCCTCACAACGGATCGCACTCGGAGCAGAGAGCGGATGAGGGCCACGGGGCTGCATTCGTAGAAGCTGGGCACGAAAACCAAGACCATGCCTATGCTACAGTGGACAATGACGAAGATGCCGCAGCAGGCGACAGTTGTGCAAATACGACACCAGATGAGGATCCGACCCATGATACTTCCATCATCTCGGAGTATCTCGATTTTAGGGACTCGCCCAGACATAACAGAAGGAAGAACACTAGACAAGAGTATGCGTATGCGTTCGCTAGCAGGTCTGGGAACACATTATCTGATGAGGGCACGACGGGGAAGTCTCATGATACTTCCATCATCTCTGAGTACCTAGAACTGAGGGACATGCCCACACCTCATAGGCAGGACACATCGGCAAGACAGGACTATGCGTACGCCGCAGTGGACACGAACAACGACACTCAGGCACGTGGGGATGAGAGCATGTCAGCCGATATGGTAATGGAAGCAAAGTCTGGCGATACCACAATCATATCTGAGTATCTTGAATTGGGGGACTCTCTGCCGCAACACAAGAAAAACCAGGAGTGCGCTTCAGGAAGCCCAGA